TGTTCTTCTAGTATTATAGTATTAGATCTTGGAGAAAGGGACAGTGAATTGTCATATTTTGGGAGAATCACCCATACATATATATATGTATGTATATATAGATATATATATAGATAGATATCATAACCCTGCTTAACTCCAATATATATATATATATATGTGTTTGTGTGTGTGAGTATAAAACATTTAAACACATAATGCATTATACTGATTAAGTAACGAAAACTTTTTTTAAAGTCAACAAATTAAAAAGAATTAATTGTTTCTCTGATATTTAAATTTAATTTAGTGTGATAAGTAATTCTTTAAATGTTGAAATGCCCGCGGCCACTCTATCAAAATCCAAATTTGATAATCCGTGACCTTACGAAACACGGATTTTTTCATTCAATATTTTTTTACGAAATATTTTGAGACTTTGTATCTAATTTTTTCTTTCTTACGCAATATATCTTCTGAATTTATTTATAATTTTTTGTTACATTACTAAAGTTTTACACCTTCTATTTAATTAATAATGTAGTTTAACAGGATATTATTGAAAAAAACAAAAAGAAAAATTTGTGAGAAGGTATATTCATTTACCGACTTCTGCGAATGTACTGTATATATATCTACGAGTAATTTTCGTTAAATGCGACAATTTAATGTAACTGCCATTGAAATCTGATATCATAGAATAAAATTAAATTTTTTTTTAAAGTTTATTTAACACCATTATTATTAGCTTTTTGGAATGAATTTACACATTGTCATTTTCCTGCGTTTTCTAAATAATTAATATAAACTATATTATTCAATCTGAGCTGTTTAATAAAGTCTTGTGATTAATAACACAAAGACTAACTAAAAATGAAATGGAACATGGAAATAAAAGCTATAAAATTATAAATTGTAATTTTTCTAGCACTTAAATGCCAAGGAATAATTGCTAAATGCTGGTTAACTATTGTACATTGCTCTCTATATTGTACATTGCTTTCTATATATTAGAGGTACTTTAATAAACGAGTATTTTTTTTAAATATATTATTCCAATCCAAAGGGTTAGAAATTAAAAAAATAATTTCCTATGTGTCGTATTTTCTGAAAATTATCCATATATAAGATCCTTCGTAAAGAATTCATTTTTTTTTTATATATTATTTTAGCTGCTTAAACGCATTATAATTTGATGAACAGATGAATTTTTATTGATATTTTATTCTTAAATTTTTGACAATAACGGTGGTTTGTTCTTTTTATTTGAATTTCGCTTGTCTCCTAATCGAAGGGAAGCGATAACGACGTTTATGGCTTGTCTTTATTTTGATCTTCATTTAGATCACTGGTTTTGATTTTTAGCTTTTAAATGAAGCTTATAGTGAAAACTTCTGTATTAGATCAATTTATCAAAGTCAAAAAGAGTTTACTTGTATGTATGTAACTGGCTTAATTAAATTTCATCTAGATAATAAATTCCTCAATCACAAAACACCCCCCATGAAAAAACCATACCTACGTGCTTGTTAATAATCCTTACTAAATAAAATCATATCAAAATTATTTTCTTAAATTATTATTTTAGTATGTGTTGTACAACAAATGTTTTGAACTTTTTAAACTCTTGTTAAAAAAAATTTATTCAATGTATATTTCTGAAATTTTAAATATATTTATTCTTTATAATTTTAGCTTACTGTATTTTTTATGAAATCTTACAACTTTTATTTTGATATTTCGTCAAATTTTGTTCTGTTTCACATATCTGTTACATTATATTCGAGAAATCATATTCACTGTGCAACTGTATGCAAATAATATAAAGATTTTCTTTTCTTTTATAGCAAATAGCAGTTATGATGATTGTAAATCATCTATTTAACCAATTTCAAGAGGCTATTTTACCATTTTTAATTCAAAAATACAATCAAAAATGGAAAAAGACAACTTTTATCGATGATTCACCTCAAGTAAAAGCTATTCTAGAGCAGCGTGATATGTGGTCATATGAAGTAAGTTTTCTAATATTTGCTTTTTTAAAACTTTGCAAAATTGTTGTTAAATTCAGATTAACCTGACATTCATTAGCAGCCTGAAGACAAAATAAAATTTTAAAAATGCTTAAAAAAATTTTTGTTTGAAATTAGAAAGATAAGTTGAAAAAAGTTGTCAACTGAATTATTTATTTTTATTTTTGTTCAATTGCACTTTTGCTTAAAATAAAACGTTTTATTTTTGTGTTTTTACAGTGTATACATGCTTGTGATAGTTATCATTAACCCTTTGCTTACGGCTGATACAATAAGTGGGCGAGAATGGCTTCAACACGTTAAGCGCCATAAGCAAAAGGTTAACAAAATTAAGTAATAAAAAATTTATATAAGGTGAGTCTGAACAAGACTGCAACTTTTCTATGTGATAAAATCCATCTAATTAAGCAATATTTGTTTGTTTTTTTAATGTCTGGTTGGAACACAAACAATGTGAAGTCACATTTAAAGAATTTATGCAAGAATGAGAAAAAATGTTTCAGAATTTTTTTTTTTTTTTATGGAAAAGGTTGATGTTTATTGCTCAAAATAAAATTGTGTCATTGATGCATTAAGAATTGCTTGAAGAGATGCTCAAAGAAATTGTTTGCTGTTTCACTCCTTCCTAAGTGAAGCCTGCACTGCTGCTGGTATAGCTTTCTATAGCATTGCTTTTCAATCCAAGATTGAAGAATCAAGCAGGCTCAGAGAAAAATTGTGAATTATGAATGAAATATATATTATAAATCGAATGATTTTAAAAATTTCAAAAATATTATGAATTGATATAGCCGCAAATAATGAGTAATGAACTTATCTTCGATATATTTATAAAATAATTAGAAGTTGCTAAGCATTTGAAAGCTATTTATTAGTAAGTAATTAGTAAGTTTTTTTTTTTTGTAACTCTAAATTAGTAGAGTGTTATTTTCTGCTAAGATTAAAAATTTTAAATTTTAACATGGATTCAAACATTGAAAATTTTACTATTTGTTTAAAAAAAATTTATTCTGCTTACCTTATACTGTAATCATATCATAAACCATAATAATTGTATCATAGTTTATTTTCACATTTTTATTTGCTTAACTTTTATTTCTAGGATACTTATGATGATTATTTAGAAGTTTTTACTCAATTTGGATATGTCTTCTTATTCTCGTCTGTTTTTCCTTTTGCTGCTGTATTAGCTGTTCTGAATAATATCTTGGAAATTTGGATGGATGGATTTAAGCTATGTTATTCCTATCAAAGACCTAAAGCAAGACCTGTAAAAGGCATTGGAATTTGGCAGGTTTGTTATCTTTATTAATAATCTTGCATAGACATAGGTGCCAACTCTACTAGATTTTTCCAGTTTCTCCTGGCGTACTGGTTTAATTAAAATTCTCCTGGTTTTTGCATATTTTAGAAAATTCCCTAAAATTGAGTAAGTTTCCTAAAAAATCCCTTTTGAAATGCAAATTTTCTACAGATTATTGCTTGCTTGCTAGAATATTTAAATAAGTATTAATAATACATAATGAAGCAAATCTTATTTATAGAAATCAGTTCAAAACTTTCTTTTTTGTTCTAAAATGCTCAGTTTATTTTTATTCAAAACTTTCTTTTTAAATTAATTTAAAAGATGTTTTAACTATCTTTGATGAATTAAATGCCTATTAATATTCAAAAGTTTGAGTAAACATTATACATAGCATTTCAATTATATTTAATGTCAATCATAACTGGAAAATATTTCAGTTTTTTTATTTTGATGACTATAAAAATCCCTAAAATTTCCTATGTATAAAATATTTAGTACATTATGCAACAAAGATCGTTAAATTTATATTATTTCATAAAATATACTGGATTTTTCCCTATCCATGTTGGCAGCTATGCATAGAAAATTAGAGTTACTCAGAAACATTTTATAATGTCATGTTAGTTCCATTTTCTTGTAAAGTATTCACAAATCTTTAATATTTTGGTTTTTGTCATAGTAGCAAATTTTGGGAAATGGAATATAAATAGAATATTCTTAGCAAAATTAAATTAAAAAAAACTTTGAAATTAATCAAGCAAGATGTTTCTTTCTTTTTTCAATTAAATTTTTAGTAATTCATCTTTTTACCTTCCCTATCTGAGCTCTTGCTGAAAAATTAGCTACATTGACTTTTTTTTTAAATATGTAGCTGGGAAGTATTGATTTGAAAAATTGTTCTAATATTACTTTAGATATTTCTGTCCTTTTTTCATTTTTATGGAACTAAATACTTGATATACTGAGAAAATATCAAGTATAAGAGCTTAATTCTTGATATACTTCTGACAGAATGCATATAAAACTGAATGGTTGAATAGTCTACTAACTGAATCGTGACTTTTCAGAAATTAAACTTAATAATTATAATTCTATGTATTTCTCTTTTTATTTTTTAATAAATATTTATGTTAGAAATCATTATAATCTAAATAAAAAAATGCTTTCAAGAAATTAATAAGATTTATAAAAAGGTATTCAGCTCAAAAATATATAAATTTCTCTATCTTTTTCATTTAAAATGAAACATTTGCTAATAACTTAAAGTTATTAATACTCTTAACTCATATTTTATCTTATGCAAAAAAATAAATAAATGAATTAAAAAACATTGACCTAGTTTAAGATTTCTCGTAAATTGAAGAATAATTAAATGGAATGAAAAGAAGAAACATTTAAATGGTTCCATTTATTAAAAGTTTTGTTCTAAATATTTTGATTTAATAAGTTATTGTGTGAAAATTGGGTATTTATAAAAACGGTAGATACATTCTCCCTGTCCGCCAAATTTGTTTTGAATTTCTTTATGTGTCACCTCTTTTCTGTGTACTTTTATGCTCATTGTATAATCATCGTACTTTTATGCTCATCGTTAGCTTTTGTTTTTCTCATTAATTTGCATTCTTAAGAGTCTCATATATTTAATAATTATTTAGGTTGCATTTGAAGTTTTAAGCCTTTTTGCTGTCATGACTAACTGTGCTCTAATTAGTATGTCTCCAATTGTGAGGTCTTATGCCCCTGATATGTCTCTTTCAACATGGCTGTTGATTGCTGTTGTTATTGAAGTAAAATATTTTATTCTTACATTTTGAAACTTTTCATTTCGCTTAATGTAAAGATTATTCTTTTATGATATTAATAATTTCTTTTTCACTGTATGTTCTGATTTCAAATTATAAGAGAGGTATACGAAAATAAGAATTAGAAATAATAATTTTTTAAATAAGTTTTAAAAACAAATTTAGTATTTGATTTTATGAAAAATATTTTATTATAAACTACTTAATCTACGGAAATCAGAGATCCTAATTTTACATACTATGTAATTACATTCAACATATTAACATACATTGTAACATATGTATCAGCTTGTCATAAAATCAGACTGAAAATAAAATCAGAGAATAGTTTGAAGACTGAATTTTTCTGACTAAAGCTATGTTTTAAAATGTGATGAAAACTTTTAAGAAGTTTTAACTATAAATGTAATGTTCAAATAAAAAAGTGATAGTAAATATTTGAGCTAAATCAGAAATCAAAGAGTTAGGGTAGACTAAAGAGCTAAGTAACGCTATACTAAAATTGTTGAAAAACAGCATTTACACATCATTTTTCTAACATATCATTATTGATTTTAAGATTTTTTTTCTTCAGGCATTTGTAATATCCAAGATTTAAAACTTATGTGTTAATAATGTTAAAACAAAATTTTTCTTTTGCTGTACAAATGTACTGTTATAAATGTTTAAACAGTTTAAATAAAATTTATTGTAGCATATAATTATTGCTGTGAAAATGATTCTTTCTTATATCATATCTGATGTCCCAAAGTGGGTACAAGTTGCTATTCAAAAAGGTCAATATGAATCTCTTCAAGCTTTAAAAGCAGAGGTACGTTTTAGAATAATAATTTTTTATTTATTTATTTTTGTCATGAAACAGATTTACTAAAAATTTTATTTTAAGTTCTTTGAAATATTATGCTCATTTTGTCTACATTATATTTAATAGTTATTCCTTTTATTAACTTAATAGTTATGTTTTGTAGATGTTAGAGTATGCAATATTGTTCTAATTAAGTATAGTTTTCTAGTATTTATTATTAGTTTGAAAATTGTGAAATTTTTGAATTTGAGTCTGCTGTTCACAGCAATTTTTTTCTGCAATATGCCATTTCATAATGTGCCATATTGATCGAGTCTAATTATAAAATTCAAAAGCAGTTTGACTGTAGTTACCCTAAAGGCAAAATCTAGAAGAAAAAGCTAGCTCAAACACTGACAATAGTTTAGTGATGGCATTTAAGATGGAAATTATATGTATTTTATTTCTTGGTAAAGCTATTAGTTGAAAAAATAAAACTTTAGTAAAAAATTTGAAATTAATATTATCGATTATTTTCTATTATGGGTGGTAAAATATATTTATATTTTCATTAAAATGGATAGTAATTCTAAATGAAATAATAATAGAATTGAAAATGATTCAAGTATTTACCATCATTTTACACTAAAATTTCAACCATAGTGACTATGTCTGTTTCTTCTTCTGTATTTCTTGTTTGTTACTGCAAGTTATTTTAGTTTCAACAAATACAAACAATAAGACATCCTTACAGCCAATTTATTTTATGTAATAAATTGTAATTATTCTGACAAATGTAAATTGTACATTTGTTAGACTTTTTTCACTGCCAAATTTAAGTTCATGTTTAGCATAGAAAAACAATTAGTGTCCTTATATCATTTAGCCTATTTTACTTACGATTAATTCTGAATAATTTCATGTTTTACCCATGGTAGACTCTGAACAATATGTGATCATTTTTTATTGTCAACAAACAATGAAAGTTGTAGTTCAGATTCTAAGAAATATTCTTTTGCTTAAAAACTAAATTTTATAGTTACAGAAACATAGCATACTTACAACACACTCATTTCTGAATTTATTATAGTATGATAATTGAATATAAGGCTTCACACACCATTTATGAGGCATGCATTGCAATACATAATGTGATTAGCATTCATCACCATTTCTGAATTGCATGTTGAAATTCACATTAAAAGGATTTGTGAATTTCACATCAGGATAACTCTATCTACAAATCTTAACATTGGGATTCTTAATAATCCAATTTGCCAATAACTAATGTGTTTTTAAAATACACATTAAAATTGATTTAATTTATGAGTCACAGAGTGAATAATAGAATGTCAGAATTCCCATATTTATGAACATATTTTAACTTGTGAATAATATACAGGATGTTGTGTTCTATAATCATGGTTCTTTATTTCTATTTTTGAAATTTATGTAAAAAATTAAGTTTATACATTATGGTTCACTTCCTAGGAAAGTGAGTTTAAAACATCAAAACCAGTTTGATTGAGAAATAAAACTTGAAAGTGTTTCTAATAATCGTTGTTCATCTCTCTAAATAGCAATTCCTAGTTTCTAATATCGTTTATAGTAGTTAATTTTTTTAAACTAAAATTTAATGTTAAGATTAGTGATTAGGGAACTCCCTGCATTATGATCTAAGATCACTGTGCTATATTCATTCTATGTTTTTAGAAGTTGCTTAAAAACGTCTATATATTTATTAAGTTATTTATATTTTAATCTAAATTATTATGAATCATGTATGTATTAGATTATTTTGCTTTAAAAAATATAATTTTTGTGTTTTTAGAGGAGACAAAAGACTAGGGATATGTTAAAATATTTGAAGATGAAAGATACTGACAAAACAGATTGAGGGAGACTTTTGGTAAGTACAATTTTTCTTTTTAACTTGAAGCTGACACTCATTGTTAAAATCATATTGCGAAAACTGTAAAGCTTTTGTATAATCAGTAATTTTAACTTTAGAGTTGGATTATTGGTTTTAAAAATTAGGCTCAATATTAGTTACGTTTGGAATTAGCGTTTCATAGAATTATAGACATCCTAAATCAGCAGTTCCTGCTCCAAAATTTACAATCTTGTCTTTAAAAATAAAATCCTGCAATATATAAAGCTATAAAAAATTGTACTATACTAATTAAGAAAATTATTTATGTTTTAGTATTCTTCCTATTAGTACAATTGTGATTAAAAAATCAAATTATTTTGATTATCAACTACCAATTTTAGATTTTTATAAAAGTGTAAAATCAGCCATTTAAATTCACACAGTCTATTATGTACCATTTCATTAAATTTTTCTTAACCTAGCCTGACCCAACTACATAAGAATCTACCGAAAAATTAATGAACAATAACTTTTTCAATATTTTAATATGTATCTACAATACTACCCTATCAGACATTGCCTATTATCTATACAATCACATAACAAGAAGGAATTTTATTAATAGTTGAATCTTCTCAGGCTTGTCTTATCTCATTTTCAGCGTTTCATTAAGATGCATTTCTCCATGATTATTGAGATCTGTAATTGTGGTCCTAGTGTAAATGGTACATTTGATAATATAATATTGCACACCTATGAGACTCGTATTATGCATTCAGTTTGTGCCAATTCAGCCACTTGCACTATAATTTTGAAGATTTCATTCATGTTGTACTGCATCTTACATTGTACAGTTTCTTTACAGTCTTTTTCATTTCACATCGTAATGTATGTCTCTGTTACTTTCAAATCATACATTTAAGTTATTACTTTATGGCACTCTTTTTTATTACTATTCATTTTCACTCTATGATTTTTGAAACTCTGATATTTTAATATAAGGGTGATTCAAAAAATAAGGCAACTTCTTTCAGAGAAAAAGCTTATTTACAAAATCAAAGAATGCTGCTTGCAATAGTTAAGACCTTGGTACATATTACTTTTTTACATACTTCAGTCTAAAAAGCATTTGTAAACTAATCTATCGAAGCCTGCATTGAAAAAATGAAGGTCCAGGTCAAAGCCACTGAATCATGAAGACAGAATGTCAACTTCTATTTCATAATGGTACCCTGTCAGGGGATTCATTAACTGCTCAAAGAGATTGAACTCAACACATAGAAATCAATATCTTGAGTTCTTGTGCAATATCCCATACATGAAAACGATCATCAATTTGAAACATGGTGGCGTGATAATGGCACAATTTATTTTTATTTTCACATTATTTCCCATTCTTATCGAGTTAATTGCACCAAAACCACACCTGTGTTAGTCACATTACACTGGCTCCATCAACTTGGAATGACTTTTTTAAAAGCAAAAATTATGTAAAACTTTGCTATTTAATCAAACAAGCCTGTATTTGTCAATGCTTATATTTTCTGGGATTTTAGATTACTTTCTCTCTACCAGCTCCATATACTGTTGATGGCTGTCTCTTCCTTCTAGATGTGGAATTTAATTTGCATAAGGAATTTGTGCACCAGTTAAAGCTCTTGTTACCTTTTTTGAAGCACCCTTGATAATATTATTCTGACTAGTAAATTTTTAACGATCCACTTACATGCAAGTCTTCTGCCAATAAATGGAAATCCATAATTAGATTTTTTTTCGGTTTGGTAAATTTTCATCATTTTGAATATTTCAGACTGCAGCTGAATCCACCAATATTACAATTCTTATTTTAAAATCATACTTCGTGATTCATATTCATGCATTTTTAATAACACATCAATTTTTGTATTTATGTGATTTAAACTTTACACTTTGAGATTCATTATTCATGTGATTTAGAAATCACACATAGGGATATGTCACACGTTTTTAAATTCTAGTATCGCTATTTGTATTCAAGCTTTTTTAAATTTCAAAATTACGTCTCGTATTCATGTGATTTTCAAAATTAAACATTGTGGTTCTTGTTTACGCGATTTATTCCAAAGAGTTTGAAAAACAATTCTATTGATAAAGAGGAAAGTAAATCGAAACTTTCTCGTAAACCAAAACATATTTGTAATATTTAAGTTCTATGTTTTACCCTCCAACATTTGCGATTTGTATGAAACATTTTTTACCAATGCTAGTAATTTTTTCTGAAATAATTTTAAGAATTTTATTTCTGTAAGAAGAAAGAATTTTTTTCCAAAAGTAAAATTCTTTTATTCTATAGTTTTATTTCTATAATAGTGTGGGAACCCTGTATTTGTTGGTTATGGTGTTCTAAACTCAATGTCTAAATGCAACAAAACAATTATAGAGAATATTTATTAGAGACTTTAAAAAGCATTCATTAACTGTAGTTCATGTTTGAAAAAAAATCTTTCCTTGTTTATGTATCTGCACTAGATCCAACAGAAAGATGCAAAGTTACTACCTTAAACTCGAAATTGCCTTCTGTTTTTGCAATTGTTTTGTACAATGAAGAAATTGAAGAACAAATGTGAGGTCAGAAAACCTCGTTGGCAGTATTGCCTCCTTATGCAAGTGCAAATATTAAAAACCCCATGCATTTAGATGAGTGGCAGAGTTTCGTTTTAAAGAGAGAAGAATTTCAACAATTTTCAATTACAGTAAAGACCGTGATTGGGTATTTTCATGACCCAGGTGTAGAAAGTTCTTTTATTAGCATGAACTAGATTATAGATTTGAAATCTGGCTGAAAGGATATAAGTAGTTATTCTGCCATTCAAACTGTAATGTAAGATCAAACTTAAACTCTAAGAACACATGAGCTTTAAAATATTTTTGTAGGAAAAATGTCAATCGCGATCCTAAAAAGGAAATTTGTGTAAAAATCTCTAAACTGCTAATTACAATTATCCTAAAAAAATCAGTAAAAGGTTAAAGTAAAATTTCAAAATCAGCTGGACAATTCTAATTTGAGTAAGTTGAGATACTTGTTGTTACAAAATTACAGTAAAGGAACTGTGCTGGAACATCTGAAAATCTCAAGAAATACTAAAAATTAGATAATTGTGGAAGCAGCATTAATTTAAAAGTTGAATGTTCAGACAATAATATAAAGATAAAAATAAAAAAGAAAGAATTTGTCTTTTCAGGCCCATAAAAAGTGTTAAAATGCATTGTTTTCATTGTAGAGCTAAATTTTTTGAATTTCTATATATTTTGTTTGTTTCAGAGTTATTCTGGGAAATAAATAAGTTAATCTTAATTGAAAGTTGTATGAAATATATTATGAATTATTGACAACTTCCTTTGATAATTCTATGTTTTGTTAAAGATATTTTTACCTAAATTATCATTATTATTACAGTCAATCAAAAATAAACAAAATTAGCAAGAATCAGTAAACTACTTACTGCTCAATGTGTGTATAGTTTGTCTACCTAAAGAACTCATCCCACTGCGGAGTCTGGAGCTATCTGCTGCTATGAAAACAAGACCATATTTTAGAGAGGGGATTTTTGGTTCTTGCCGATCGCCATTGAAACTTGTCCTAAATTTTTACCCCCCAACTCTATATAAAATACTGTAACCTCGTTAGGATAGTCACTCACAAAGCTCCAGGCAGATAGGGTGGAAAGTTTTTTTAGATAGACATATAAAGTATATGATAGGTACAAGATGTATGATGTTTTGTTTTCATTTTCTGCAATAATCTCCATTTATTTTATTTTCTTCTAAAACATTTATCAAGAATTATAACAAAAGTTTACTTAATTAGGAATTAATGAAATTAGTTTAATTGAAAAGTGTGTAACATATGACCCAATGAAAAGTTATGACTAAATTTACAGAAAATTTTCAGCCATTTTTTTGTTTGACCAATCGCATGTTATGAATTTATTTTCACTGCAGTACAAAGTATTAGTATTCAATATGTAACAATCCATCACAAATCAATGTGGTTTGGTCTGTCGCTTTCTCTACAGCTCTGTGTACATTCAAAGTTCATATTTTTGTTAAAACACATGTTTCAAGCCACGCATATGAGTAATCACTTTACATTGCATACCTACACATTCCATTGGACATTCAAATAGTTTTATCAATCTTTCTTGATTTTTCAATGTTGAAAGATCAATCTTTAGCAATTAGTTACATTTGTAATTTAGAAAAATATGAGGCAGCGGAGTTTATCCATGTTTCATTCATTGATAAGCATCCTAATTCTTCAGGTAAAATAAAAACCAATATAGTATCTTGATGCCATTCATTATTAATGTGAACATTTCTGAATTTTAAAATCTCATTTTTCTATTTAATTCAAATTTAACAGTTTTTACTGAAAGTCTTATTGTTACTTATTTACTTGATTCATTTTTAAGAGTTTTATTTATTATATTTAAAAAAATTGAAATTGCCAAATGTATATTTAAAGTATAATTAAATGAAATACAAACTGAAATAACACCGTAGTGCGGTTTGTTCTTCAAATATCCAGTTTTAACAAACTAATATTTTCTGGATAGGCAATATTAGTTTGTTAAAACTGGAATGAATGCTGAGAATATGAGATTCCAGATCAAATAATTGTTATTTTTTACTGCTTGTTGGTTCATACTAAATAACTTTGCTTGTAACCATTATTTTATTTTCAGAAACTTAAAGTCTGACAAAATTAAATGGAGTGTTGAAATAGTATAGGATGGCAGTATGATACAGTGTTGCTGATCTTTTAAAGAAGTTTAATCTTAAATTTCCATTTTACAAAATATTTATAATCTGTGATATTACTATTTAAAAACTTTAATAATTTATTAATTTTCTAGTCATCTATGTTCCTCTAGAGATTTTTTAAGCTACCTGTATACCTTATTTTTTTTAACAATTTATGACTCTTTAAACATTTTGTGCCTAAATCTTCTGCCAAAATCTTTCTCAATACTTTAGTTTTTACCACTTGAGATTTTCCTCTTCACATATTGTTCTGCTTTTATAAATTATGGTCTGTTACAAATGTGCTATATTACTGAAAAATAATAAACTTTTTTAATTAATTTAGAATGGCACCATTTTATTCAATTGTTTAATACTCTTTTGAAATTAGTAGCAATTGTTTTGCAATATCAAAATATAAATATCTGAATATGCAGCATAATGTAGGTCATTGTAAAATGACATAGTATGTTAGGATCACTTCTTAAAACAAAAAATCAAATTTTTCTTCATATTAAATCGTTTAAAAAAAAACAGTGACTAGTGGATATAAGTAGCTAAAAAGGAGAAAGTTAACCCCAATTCCTCTCTATTTTCACCTTGTCAATGTTACCATTTAATGGTATTTTAAAATTTATAAAAATATCTATTTCCATGGTTAAAGTTCATCTCAAACTAGAGTTGCTATGGGCATGTAACCAATATAATAAATGACTCTATGTCAATTGTAGTATTTTATTGTAAAAAATAATTTGATGAAAATTTATTTTCTAATGTTAGTCTGTTGCAGGTAAGAGTTCTTATATTTTAATTGTGCTAACTATTAAATTTTATAAAAATAATATTTCTGAATTCCCATTGAATATAATACATTACTTTATAAGTAATGTGCTTAAATAAAATGGTTTCTAAAAGACAAGTAATTTCCAGTAAATAGGCCACTGCTTATCTGTATTTAAAAGTTAATTTATCCCAATGTGCAGCCCAGGTGTGGCTTATTAGGTGATTTCATTTTCCAATGGGCCAATGCTTTCATTTTTTCAGTGGGTTGATTAAATGAGTACTAAGTATTCTTAGGGATTAAATACTAAGGAAAGGGTTTTATGTTCAACTGACCACCCAACTAGAACATCTGCTCTTGCATCCCAGTGTCCAAGGTCAAGAAAACTGGGATAGGCTTAGTATGCCTTGGGCTGTCACCTCACTAAGTTTAGTTTTAGATTTTAAAAAAATGAATACCCCTTACTAATAAAAGTAAAATAATATATACAATATATAAATAATATGTATAGTTAAGTATTAGGGACAATAATATCAGCAAACTCTTATATTGATGGACTAAAAACGATACCCAAATACGAAAATGATTATATGCAAAAAATTTCGAGAACTAAACCAGACTGTTCTTAATTTTGAAGCTCAAACATCAGCATGACAAAAAGAGGAGAAAAATTCACTTCTGCCTCATGCTCCTTTTTTTTTTTTACTCATTGGAAGCTCTTACACATGAAAATCACATTTAACTGCACATTAAAGTTTCTTTACAATTTCATATTCAATAATAATAAAAATTACTTCTATCAGAAACTACCAAATTTTTGGAGTTGAAAGGGAAATGGAATAGAGTATGAAATGGAGTAGAAATGGAGTAGGAGTAGAATGGAGTATGAAATGGAGTAGGAGATTTATGGAATAGAGTATGAAAAATGAAAACTCAGTGAAAAATGAAATGAACTTTTTTTTTCTTCAGGGATTAGAAAATAAAACACTTTTTCTATAGTTTTTTGACCCAACTTTCTTCATAACTAATTGTTTATAAATAATAAGAATGCTGAAATCTGTACCACAAAAAGAGTTTTCAATGCCAGACCAGTTGGCACATGAAAAAGAGGCAGGTTTTACAACCAGGTTAAATGTTGTGTGAAGTGTAGAAGTCTCTAATTAGACTAAGAAAAAACCATGTGACTTTGTGTACTAAATATGGTATTGATACTTGTAGTTGTTTAGTGATAAACAAAAGAGGAAATAAAATTTAGCGACCATAAAATAGAGGTTTTGAGCTATTTCATTAAAATTATGAACTTATAACTATGTGTAAAGAAAAAAATGTTAATTTAAAAAAAAGAAACAGGAGTTAATTTCATCATGGAGCTTGAATCATCACATTATATTTTATATTCACAGATATAATATTGCTGTAGACCAAACAGTTATAGTTGAATATGACAAAACTTCAATCTATCTTTAATGAAGCACTAATATTTAAAATACAGTTCATAATTAGAGCAAGACTCAAACTATGGGTTGTAATTAAAGTTTTCAAATTTTCAACATCAAAATTTGAATTATTATATGAATAAATACCTTGTTGAATATCTTTCTGACCTTGATTTTACAGATGACTTTTGTTTACTGACCAACACCCTTCAAGACATGCACGCAAACACAAACATATTAAACGGAGAGGCAAAGAAATAAAACTAAAATTTTGTAATAATCCAATGACTATTATTTTGTAATAATCCAATGACTAATGACTATTATTCCAATGATTATGTAATAATCCAATCCATGTAATAATCCAATGACCTATTCTTAGAAAATAAACTGGAGGAGGTAAACAGTTTTACCTATCTTGGGAGTATAATTAACAACAAAGGAAGAAATTATGAAGATATAATAAATAGAATAAACAAATCCTGAAGCAGCTACGCTTTTCTCATTCATAATAAATTCTGGAAAAACAAAAACATAATAAATTCAACAAAAATGTAAATTTTCTATACTAAATCTGTTCAACTCTAAGGATTTGAGACATGACACTGCAATAAAAATATCTTGAAAAAGCTTCAGGTATTTATTAGCATCACTTTAAGAAGAATCTTTCGTATCAAGTGGTTCCATAAAATTTGTAACACAGAAATCCTTAGAAAAGCGGAACAGAAACCAATTGAACTGGAAATTTAAAAACTTAAATGGAAGTGGAGTCTTGAAAGATTACCGTGGAAAAAATCCTAATTTCTAAAAATTTAAAATTGAGATTTAGCCTTCATGTCAAAGGTAAACGTTAATTATTTATATCCTAATGGTTTGTGTGGAAGTTATCACAAAATAATTGTTAATACCCTTAGTTCCTTATTGGAGCAAAATATTGCCATATATAAACTGTTGTCTTTCTTAAAATACCAGATGACCTTCAGTTTATTCCAAAATTTTATTTTCAAAAGAAAAGAAAAAAATCTTATAGTTCCGTATAAAGAATGTATTTTAAAAATTAAATGTCAACTATTCAAGCTTGCCTGATCTTATTCTTACTCTTACGTAAAGTATTTAACACATAAATTACATTTTTTATAGAGTAATGCGTTCTTACTGTTAAAAAAAAATATTAATTCCTAAATCTATGTATATTTAGCATTTAAGCATGTTGGCCCTGTATACATGTCGAACCAAATCCCTATTGCAGTGCGCATGACGTGTATACTCGTCGTGTAACATCAAAAATTACCATTGACTCTCAAAACTCATAATTTCAATGAAATACAATAAAAATATTATTTGGTGGTATGTTTCCTTTATATTCCTAATAGAACTGCTAAGTATTTCACATTGCGAGGTGGTTGGGGCTCGCAGCTCGAAGTCAATTACTTCCGTAAGTAGTTTAGATGAGGAGCACTGATTTGCGAAGAAATACCGTAAGCAATTAGGAGGGCTACTACTTTGCTCTACGAAGTAAATTCTAGATATTCTTGAATCAAATGCAAGAATCCGAAGCATTCTATCCAAGAGTTATAATTTTTCTCGCTTTCGGCCTCGTATTATTCTTATGTTATACAGCGTGCAAAAAAAAAAAATAATAAACGGACCAACTGAATAACTTTTGATCTAATGATCGGACTTCCGCCTTCTAGGACTCAATCTTAATGGTTCGAGAAGGTGACCTCAACCGCCAATATCTTGCGGATTTCTGATCCCCAAGATATTGGCGGTTGCTGCAATTTGGAAAATCAGGTAAAGAGCGGTTCAAGGTTTTCACCCCATAGCGTTAATTTTACTTTTTGCGTATTTCGCCATTTTTCAAGAACTTTTCAAAGCAAATTGAAAAATTTTTTACACACTTATAAAATTCGTTTTTCCAAAGATAATTCCATGCAAAAATAACTTTTTCATAAATATTTTTTATTTAATAATAGTCGAAAAAATTTTGAATTCTAAGGTATACTATTTTAACATCATTTTAAAGACTGTAATTTTACATAGCGAAATACAAAATTTGGGCGAAATCGGCCAAATAGTTCCTGAGAAATCGAATTTTAAAAATACTACTACTTATTTAAAATTCTGTTTCTCAGAAACTATTCAGCCCATTTTTCTCAAATTTTGTAGTTTGCCATTTAAAATTACGTACTTAAAATGATGTGAAAAAATTGTATACCTTACAATTCAATTTTCTTTCGACTATTAAATGAAATAATAAAAAGAATATTAAATATTTACTAAACGTTATTTTCTGAGTGGAATTATCTTTGGATAAACGAATCTTATAAGTGTGTGAAAAAAAATTTCAGTTCGCTTGAAAAGTTTTCAGGATATGGTGAAATACGCAAAAAGTCGAATTAATTTTAAGGGGTCCCAACTTTTGGACCTATCTCCTACTGACCAAACAACTGGGACCTATTTGCCAGTTGCGGCTCCCCCCAATAATTAAGGAATCCGAATCCGTCAAAAAAGAAAGCTATGTATATTTAGAGAAACTACATTTTCGTGTTTGATCTCGTTACTTAAGATATCGTCTGCATTAATTAATCAGCATATTTGAGGTCACCCTCTCGAACCATTAATATTGAGTCCTAGAAGGTAAAGATCCGATCACTAGATCAAAAGTTATTCAAGGTGGGTTTTTTTTTCGCACTGTTCATTATGTATTTTATTATTTTTTTAAATTTTTTCACAAATTTCTTATAAAAGTAACTTTTTTATGAATAAATTATAAGCTTTTTATTATATAAAGATTTAATGCATTCCTAGTTTCTCGCACTCTGCACTGTTTCTCGCACCTAGTTTCTCGCATTCCGCACTCTGTGGGGAATTTTTTTAAAATTAAATTATTCAAGTATGTATATTTTCGCTAGGCACCAAACCTTTTATTTTGGATATCATGTTAAAACCATATTTCTTTCTGTACTAACAGATTTAAAACTTTTTTTTCATACAGTTTAAAAAAGAAAAAAAAACCTTTTAAATGAGTGGTGTTTTTTGAAAAAATTTAACTGAAAATATCAACAATTTCGTTAAAGTAAAAATTATAAATATGACTTGTAGCAGCTCTATGTATGTAACATTTTTGTTTTTGTAAAATTTAGTTTTGTTGAGTGGCAGTTTGAGTTTGTTGAGAGTTTTGTTTAGTTTCGGTAGTGCCACTCTGCAGTATGTAACTGTTACTACGGTAAATGTTATATTTTTTGTATTTAAAAAAATATATTTATTTATTTTGTAATTCTAAGTCTTTGAATCTAAATATCTAGTCATTCTCGTCATATAATATTATATTAATAATACATCCCATGTATTAATGAGAAAATAAAACACTACTGACTAAAAATAATTTTCTTTTACCCAAAAAATTGAAATAATTTCAAGTTTTGGAAATATTTATAAAGATTTTCCTATGTTAATAATTCAATACCGATATTCAAACGTAACTTCATTTTCAAACGAAGTTGATAAGAAGTATTAAATATGCACTAACGAAAGTTTAGTTTTGAAAATAATGAGAATCAATCTAAATATTTATATCAAATCGATTTTTGTTAAGAACTCGTAATTAAGATTTAAAAAATTCAGTATACACTGAGGATAATTTGTTTGGAAATTGAAAGAAGAAAAAAATGAACGCTTTTACTTTAAGTCTGTTTAATAGGGATTTAGCTCCGTAGTAAACGTAACAAAAATTTTCAAGTTTCTACAGTTAAAATAACAGCGTTTTGCTTTAATAAGTTATAATATAATTTTGTATTCCGTTTCTTTTACGTTTTAATAATTGTGAACGTTTCAAAACTAGATCCTAATTAACATTTTTATGGAGGATTATTATTATGGAGGGTTTCATAGTAGAGGGATGGCATCTACTTATCTGCACCAAACGAAAACATAGCCTACTTAAGGTGCTCTTATCTAACAATGATATCAGCTAAATCAGATTGAAGAAAGTTTTTATTGTAAAGCATTAAAAAATGAAAAAAGTTATATTAATAATTTTATGCTATAGTTAAAAAAAAAGATTAGAAGTCAAAAAGCAATAAATTATGAACAAAAATATCTATAAAACGATAGTTTTACCAATTTTATTATATATGGTTCTAAAACAGTGCGCCTTAGGAAGTTAGCAGACATCTAAAAACTTATACTTTTAAAAGTTATTATCTTAGAAAAATTTTCAAATTTTTTTGGCTCGTTATAATTAGAAACAAAAATATTAAAAAAAGCAAATTTATCTACAGTGGATGAAATCAATAAGAGAAGATGGAAATTGACTGGGCATGTATAAAGAATGCAAAGAGAAAAAATTTATGCATGTTTCGTCTCCTTGCGCTTAGAGGCAGAAGAAAAACAGGAAGATTGATATTGACTTGGCAGAGACAAATGCACGCAGATTTCAAGAAAAAATTAAAAGATTAGAGGAAGCTAGGGTCAGTTTGCATGGAGAAATAGGCTGGATGCGTTATGCGCCGAACGGCTTGAAGAACTTAAGTAGTAAACAAGTATACTCAAAGATTTAAAAAAAAATTCAATTTCCGTAATTTTTATCAAAATTACAGCTTGGTAAAAACTACTACTTTTCAGATTTTAAAGTTGTAATTTTATACTTATTTTTGATAAATGAGTGCAGGTACAGTAAGAAACTTATTTCTGGAGACTTTGTGTAATGTAATAAAATATTAGTTCTTAGTAGACAATGCTTAAAAATAAGCTTGTAAATCCTATTATTTTTAAATACTATTTTTTTTTATTGAATATCATTGTGTAGCAAAATTCACTTGCTAAACACTCTTAACTTTTCTATATGATTGGAAAGATTTTTACCTTGCTTATTACCTTGAGACTTTTTTACAAGTGGGGAAAAAACCAACGAGCTATTTTAAATTAATATCTTGAAATTCAAAATATAAAATAATTTTAGCCAAATTGTAGCGATATTCGACAAAATTATACAAAAACTTGAACAGCGATAATAAGTATTGTAGCTGCATGCTGACTTCGTGTTGTAACGCTCGATTTAATGGTGAGAATTTTTGCGGTAATTCTTTAGTTTTGTACCAAACATAGTTCGTTCCTGCTGCATTTAATAGAAACACATAATTTTACATGGTTATGGTGCCGACCGGACTGTGCAAGGGTTAGGGAACTGGCCTTGCGCCAGAATGGTTCTGGGTTCGAATCCCCGTCAAGGCATGGATGTTCTTTCACTCTGTGTGCTATCTGACCTTGCTGTGGGGGCAACCTTGGCCCTCCTAATATGGTGCCTCTGAAAAAGTGGACAACAAATCTGTCCTTCAGTTGTCTGTGTTGACGAAAGGTCATTCCCCAGGTGGGCATTTGAAAAAACATGGTTATGGTATAGGTTACATATAGCTTGTTATAGGGATTTAGTGTTTGCTCTTCAAAATTTTGAAATGTATGAAGTTTTATAAAATGTTACAATGGTTTTGTATAAATTCTCTTTCAAAAGAACTAGCGCAAAGTTTGCAATTTACAGCCTTTGAGCGGATCATGAAATCTTGATCAAAAGCTTTGTACACATATTTAAGCAGTGGCATTCGACACCAAAAGCTTTAACTTTTTGAAAACATTTGAATCTGGTGTTTCTGAAAATTAAACCTGATAATTTCTGAACAAACATTTGACAAACCTTTGGGATTTTGTTGCCAAGTTATGAGCAATAAGGGAGTTTTTTTTTTTTTGCATTATGTAATCTGTTTTTACCCACGACGAGCGTTTTCACAGTATTTTGAACTATTAAATAGAATTATATTTTCCGTGATTTTTCAAACTCTCTAGATCCATGGTACAGTGACATTTCATAGAGGTTGATTTCTTTTATACAGCCTGTCAAAAATTACCGTGCATTATCCTTGCAAATTTAACCCGTCAAGCATAGAGCTGACAAAACTGCACTACAAGAAATTCTTTCCCTGTTGAATAATGTGATGAAAGCAGATTCCTTGATGCAATAAAGCTTGCAGTTTTAAATTTGAATAAAACCAGGTCAAACTATTAAAGTTAAATAAAAATTTGCTATTTCATAAGTTTAAGAAAGATCGCGATAGTAGTTTTAGACATTCGTATTTGCACAAGCAATACCTTTTGGAATAAAAGTTAAAATATTTGTTTATGGAGAACTAATTAATCTCCCGAGACCCAGCGTCCAATATTTGGTAAAATTTTATCACTTAATTTTAAGACTGCTTCTGTATGTAAAAATAAAATGATATATCCTCGTTAGCGTAGAGTTTTTAATTACAACGAAAAATTAGATTTAAGTAACCTTTTGGACAATATATGGCATACAGATATCTTTACTCCATTGAATTTATGAACAAAATTATGGAGAGATAGGCTAAAACATCCTCCATGCCAGAAATGCTACGAACTAAAATTTCGCATTTTATGAAACTATTAAAAATTTTACTTTAAGTTTAATAGAATTTTTCACATACTAGTGTAAGTGGCTCCCTGGATGTATAAGATTTGCACATGCTTGCTATCCTTTACAAAACTATACCACTGTTTTAAAGTAACCTTTAAACGAAATTGCAGGCCTTTTATGTTTCTACTTTAATGAACTTTTCACGTCCTGTCACATTTTTGACAATAAAATATTACGTTTTATTTGCAACTTGTATCTTTAAAAATCTCTTAAATCCATGTATTCTAGAAGAATACTAAATGTAACGTTTTGCAAACAAGAAATAGCTAACAAGATAAAGTTTTTAGTCCAGTCTTTCCATATGGCTATGCAAGGAAGTGTCCTAATGTGAGCAATTTAATATCCCAATTTTTCACCTCCGGGAACTAAGAAAATAAGTTTTTGAAAAGAAATCCATGCAGTTAAACATACGAGAACTAAACTAAAAAAATAACAGATAGAATTATCTAGTGAACAATTAGTCTTATGCCAAATCATTGCTGCAAACTTCAAAAACTTAAAAAATTGACCAAAAATATGTGTATAATCTGAAATATGTAAAAATTGTCGAGTTCAAAGAACATTTGCTCCAGATTTTGGCATATTTAGTTAGCATAAGATTAACAAGGGCTTCAATTTGAATGAAATAAGTAATGCTGACCGGATATTGATGGAATGAGCTGGAAGCACGAGGGAGACTAATTTCCATACTCTCTGCACATTATATTCAAAATTATGGGCATTATCCTCCTGTATTGCTCTTGCTTCCCACTGTGTGCAGCCCGCTTTTATTTCATTCAAGTTGGAACTCTTGAAGCCACAAGATCTAGTAGTTATTGCAGACTACATAGATTTCCAAAAGATATCAAACTGACAAGATTCAGATGAAAGTAGCGACACATTAGTGTCAAAATTTTTATTTGACAATCCAGGTTTTAAACCCGTGAAATATAAAATGTATAGTTATAAATCCGCAAGTAGCTTAGTTTTTAACTTTAAATGCTTTTACAAATGTCTTGATTAAACGGTAAGATTTTTGATCGCATGTTGAGTAAGCTTTCCTGCAACCAGACATACCACGTCTCTGTCCCTGGATCATAATTTCTCGGTACTTCCTTGACAAAGCATTTTTTTCCAGAACTCTTAAAGACCTGCAAAAAGAATTAAATTTATGTTTAGAGGAAAATCTTACGCCTTAAACTAAAGATATTTGTATTCTTTATAGAGCAGTGTTTTAAATTATACCGAACTGAATTTGAGTTCAGTAACTTCAAAGCCCAGTAAATTGTTTGATTTTATCAAAGCTATTTTCTACCGCGAATCACTAGTTTTTCCCAGCTTGTTAAAATTAAGGTATTAACGCTTTAGGTTTCATATAAAGCATCTTTGTAGTATCTTATACTATAATTAAGTTTTATTGAACAAGATTCGAAAATTTAACACACTAGTTCATATTTGCAACTCACGGCTTTAAAACCTGGAGTGCCACATGATTAGGGTTAAATACTGCATACTCAAAGTAACAAAGAGTTAGGACCATGTCTAAAGCAAAAGTGATAAGAATGGGTGTAAAAGGAGAAAAACTAACAATTCGGGGTAGTGGCGTCTGTATTTACACGAAAGAAAGCGCTGACCAATTGGGCAATCTAAAATTGCGCAAATCACTTTCTTCAACAATAGAGATTTTGGGTAGAGTTTGTGTTAAATTAAACATAATGCTAACCTTTTTCCTCTAGCGATTTTTAAAGAAATTTTCATAGTGAAAGAAATGGAAGTTAAGTGTACTTGTTAAAAAACTTAACGAAATTTGATTTCGTTAGGTTTGTAGAACAAAAGGTAAATATTTAAAGATAAAATTTGTGAGTAAGTGTAGCTTGAATTTCAAGCTTTAATCATTTCGAAATTTATTACATTTTGTAAAATTACGAAATTCCCAGCAAAACACTCAGTGACTAACAATTAGAGATTTAATACCCACACAATTTAGTCAAAAATAAAGCTATACATTCAGAAAAACTTTAGATTGAAAAAAGAATTTACCAGTATTAAAATAAACTATCGAATCTGAGCAATCTTGCTGTATATAAATCTGTCGTTTACAACGCTAAGAAAAAGCAGAGGGAGACGTCGCATTTAAACTAGCACATTCTTGCATAATGCTTATTACTGATGGTTTATGTAATGTTTATATTACTAGTTTAAAGTAAATTACTTTCACAACTGTTCAGAAACTGCTCTGAATTTTTAGTGTTACTGTAATAGATATGCGCAGTACCAATAGTCAGCTTTAGTTTACATAACACCTTAACTACTGTAAAAAATTCCATTTAAAAAACTTTTTGGCCAGCAGGTACAGAATCGTGAAAGAGATTGAACAGATTAACATCTATTAAGCTTACACGATGTTTATAGCTAATTAGAAACTAACTCGTTTCATTCTTTTGGAGAAACAAAACAGCGGGATTTTTCTTTTAGAAGGAAATAAATCTGAAGACTAGGAAAATTTTTAACTGGTTTAGTAAATTTTTCTAAGCTAATTGCAAGGATTATAGAATACAATATGTATTTAACTTAAAATAATAACTTTTACTTACGTCATAACATCTTTGATGTTGTGCCCAAGGCCTTCAAGTACTTTAGGATCAGACCCAACTTCACACACTAATCTTGATATGCATTTGTTCGCATCAACTTTGTCCAACACTGCGAAAAAGTTTTCTATTTCAGTCGGGGTTGCTGTGCGAATGTTAAATGTCGTAGGAATATTTGGGCCTCTCCTCTTAGAAAACTCTTTGCTACGGGGAGTTAGAGGAAGGGCTCCTAGCCCACCTAATCCAAATCCTCCTAAACCTGGTAGCAAATTGCTTGAACCTTGACTTATAAAAGGAATCTGGCCAACAGTTCCGGTGCCTAACATGTTTAAAAGTCTTCCGCCTACAGCAAACTTGAGTGCAGTTAAACTGTCGGGACCCATCGCTTCTGGAACCCCAAGAGGTGATAGCATAGATGACGGTATTGTCAAAGAAGCTTCATATCCAAAAATGGATAAAGAAACGATGAGAGTCCAGGCAAGTGTTTTAGCGAACATGTTTAACCTAAAACAAAATCGAATCGTTATTTGATAATACACAATTTAAAAAGTTGACAGCCAAATATAAAGCACGCTTAAAATTTAACATAATTTTGTACTATGAGATTAGAAGACTTTATGCAGAAATTAATAAATGCCATTGGTTATCCAGGCAAAGTCAGGTTTAAATTTTCCCTTGCTTATGCTGTAGCTTATTCAATTTCGTAAAACTTTAGTGCTTCGTTACTGATGATTGCTTAAAACTAAATAACTATATGTATACTATTTGTACTCGTTGATCACTTAATTTTATGTTCTTCCTTTCGCATGTCCTTACAAAAAGATTATGTTAGGGAAGATAATTTGTTAACCGACGTTAATCTATTTAAATAGAATGAAAAATCTTGAACTTAAAAAATTCGATAGAAGTAACCTTTCGGACAGTTTTATGGCATAAATCTTAAGAGTCATGGATTTTTTTTTATGACCAAAGTTTGAAGAAACGCTAAAAATATCCTACAATAAATGAAAAATATTTTTTTATAATTTAGAATTATTAAATTTAAAGTTTAAAAAACAAAATTGAGTTTCTCTTCTAAGATATATATTAAGCAAATTCTCCATTTCCTGACATTGAAGCTCTGGTCTCCAGAGTTATAGATTAGATAAATGCATACTGTATTGAAAATTAGATTTAATGTATGAATAGTTTCGGACCAATAATCTTAGATAAAGACATTAAACTTGTGCATGCATAAAGCTTTGTTCAGCTAAATACTCCGAATCCAGAGGTAAGTGCCTACCGTTAAGTATTTACATATCCATAATCTTTAAATATATTAAAATCTTTATTATACTTTCGCAAGACTATAGGATTCAAAAGATAAGATTGCTGTCTTTGAGCCCTTCAAAGAAGAAAAGTTTAGTGCTAATATTATCAAAGTTCAAATCTCTTGTATTTAAAGACGAAAAACCATTCGGGCAGTCAGTTCATCGATTGTTAACTTAAAAAATTAGCACCGCAAGTAAATTTAGTTTTACATAGATTTTAGACTGACTTGCAGAACTTAAACTTTTCAAAATAAAGTTCATAAAAAAAATAACCTCTAGCGTTAACGGTTTAAAAACATTAGAAAAAAATTGCAATTATAAAAATAAAATTTACTTTATTAGAATATTTTATCGATTTTAATCCACATAATGCAATGAATATACAAAACGTTGGAAGTTTTAGTTCCATATTTGAAGCCACTTCAAAATTAAAAAGAATTGAAATCTTTCTAGAGACTATTACAAGCTGATAATATATAGAGAGAACACTTTTAATACACCATGCCTATGTAAGCTATTTGAAAAGGAGATTAAAAATCTGAAACAATGTGGCCTATTTTAAACAAAAATCTGAATTATTGATCAGATAACTACATTGCCTCTCAGCTTGCATTAAGCACAATAACATTTACTCCCTCAGTCGAATTTAACGTTATTAGTTTAAATTTTTAAGGAATTTGTTTTTTTGATGGTTAGTTTGTATTCAAAAATACTACTCCATTTTTTGAAGTTAATTTGAAGTTGGATATAACGACTTAATTAAAAGCTTCGATGAGGCTCCTACTAGAGATGAGGGGTCATGCATAGACTAAGAAGTTAAATTCTAAATAAGAATTTTGATCGGAGAGCAAGTTACTGTAAGCTATTAGGCCCCGCAAAAGAGTATACAATTCAAAAAAAGAAAAGTACAGTAAATTCGTAACATATAGTGCAAGAACTAAAAATATATGAATTCGACCATACATATGCTTAGCACAAATTCTATTAAACAGACAATATTGAAAACAAAGTTTTAAAATCTAATTTGAACGGCTGCATGCAACTTTTTCGAAATAATTGGATTTTTTAATTAAGTTTCAACAGAAAAAAAAAAGATACCATAATACTCAAGATTTGTTTAATATTTAATTACTAAAAATAAAGCAAAGAGTTTTGTTTTTCATTTTTATAAGTAAAAAAGTTTCTACTAATATCTTTAAAGATCATAGTTGATTTACAGTTTTAAAAAAAATTTAAAAGACTATCACTTCTTTGGCTAAAAAATACTCACAGATATCAGCTATACTCTCTGCTGCATATGGCGAATCCAAATGTTAGACCTCCCTTCCTACAAAAGCTTTATTGAGCAAAAACTAACTTTTTAATAATCTCCAATTATTTATAGTCTTTACTGATTCCGTAGGATCTTCATCATAAATGCGCATGCGCTGGAGTTAAAGTTGTAGTAAACAATGGATACTTTAGCGAAGAAGTGATATCTTTGAAGTACAACATCAGAGTAGAAAACTTGGTCCCACGTTACAATAATTGCCTTGTCTGTTATGGTGATAACATTGAAAAATAAAGTAAGACACCGTGATTCTGTAAATAAATTTTCGTTTTGATATTTTTCGTTTTCATTCAGTTAAAACAGAACGTATCTTATTTTTTATATGATTGTTACACACTAAGACATCTATGGCTATGGTGGGAATCGAACCCGCTATTTCCACACCACAATGCGTTTCGCTGAAAGACAATACACCGCAAACACGGTGATTCAAGCCCCTTTAATCTTTTTAGCAAATATGTAAACTGTGAAATTTAATTGAGTCCCACAGTGAACTAATCGTTAAGACGCGGTTCCCACCAGATCACCGAAGTCAAATGTCACTGGCTGCGGTCAGTGTGCGGGTGGGTGACCACTTGACCGAGGGTATGCTGTATTGGTCCTCGTTAAACTGTTCTACTGTAAAGTGCTCGACTTCGCGAGTAGGTCGTCGGGGATCCTCAGGGATGTTTCCCAGACCGTCGCCAATGGACTATTGTGCAGCTTTAGTGCGACGTAAATAAACTACAACAACAACAAATTTAATTAAGGCTTCCGCGGCCGAGAGGTATTATCCTTCTACCAAACACTTTCCAACATGGAGGTGTCCTGCAGTGAACTGATCGTAAGGACACGATTCCCAGTAGAACACTGAAGTCAGGCATCAACTGTTTGCTGTCAGTAAGCGGATGACCGCTTTGAGCACACTGCGTAGGGACCAAGGGTGCGCGGTGTCGGTCCTTGTTAAACTGTTTCACCGTAAAGAGCTCGACTTCGCGAGCAGGTCATCGGACTACCAAAGCCGGGGAACCATCCCTCTGCGGAGGATCAAAATTGAGATGTCATGTCTTCTGATCATCCTCAGGGATGTTTCCCAGACTAACGCCAAAAGCCCATTGTGCAGCTCTAGTGCAACGTAAATAAAGTTTCTACCTACCAACATGGAGATAGCAGTTTAAAATTAATTACCTGGATTAATCTTTGTGCTGTCCTCTAATTTGTGCGATTTTTTTTGCAACTTAACAAGGATTTATAAGACTTCCTTTTTATTGCATACATGCAAGCACATGTATGTGTAACAATATGCCAAAAAAAATATATGTTTATTATTTACTTTGTTAAACACTTTTTGATATTTAAATGTTTTTCGGCAAAATTAGAAAAATATTTTTTTTAATTTGCTAATAAAAAAGTTTTTATGAATGATTTTTCGATCAATTAGTCCTTCCAGTAGGTATGGTGGGTAATGCATCCACCTACAATGATATTGCATTGTCAGGTAAGAATCTCCATAGTAAAAGCTTGGTGTCTGATGGAAATGCAGTTTTTTCCAATGATATATTAGTGGTTTGGAATCAGCTTTAACGGTATGTCTCCGTTAGTTTCAGGAGCAGGAAAAATTTATTCCTGGTGTGAAGGCTGGTTGATAGCTACTACCATCTTTTGCTTCGATCTAAATTGCTATAGTGCAGTATGCACATCAGCCAGCATTGTCTTAGAATCACCAATAAGTACAAACGCAAATTCCCTATTAGTCTAGCCTAAGCACGACGTTTACAATTAATTCAAATCAATTATGATCTTTTATGTTATTCACTTGTAAGAACTTCTTAAGCGACATCAGACCACGAACTTAGATTAGCTTGACTATGTAAAAAGTTCACTGTCCCGATTATCAAAACAACTAGTTAGTGACTTAACAAAACATTCTGGAACAAAAAGGAAACTGGTTAGACTTCTGTGGTATCTATTGGATGCATATTTGACTTTGACGCCGAATACAATGAAATTTGTTCTGCTTCATTTGAGCGCTTACAGGCTTTCTTTACTTCTCTTACTTTATTTTACGCTACTTTATTTTAATTTGCTTTTTATTTTACATTACTTAGATGCGCTGAAAAGATGACCATTGTAATCAATTTAAATCGCATGACAGGTACAGATAAATGGGACTTCCATAAAAAGAAGGATCTAAAAGAATTTGAGGCTGTTTGCTATCTTAACGAGAGCTTACTAAAAACTAAATAAGTAAACACAAGGAAATAATTATAAAAAGAAAGAAATCTCACATACACAAGAGCTGTGGTGGCTCAGGAAATAGAGCACTCACTTCCCAATAAGGTGACCCGGGTTCGAAACCGAGCGATGGCTGGTCGATACGAATTCAATATCCGACTCGCACCAACCACATTGCTGACGTAAAATATCCTCAGTGGTAAACGAATCATGGGTTAGAGTCCCTTTGCCGTCAGGCTAACCTTGAGAGGTTCTCGTGGTCTTTCTCTTCATGTAACGCAAATGTTGGTTAGTTCCATCAAAAAGTCCTCCACGAAGATAAATGTCTCCCAATACTTGATCCAGGAGTTCTCTTGTCTTTCAGGTTGGGTTCAAACTTACAAGGCTACGGGGCTGAGCATTGATAGTCATAAACTCAGAATTGGGTCAGCTGTTCAACGCCGGACATAAAGTAAAATAAAATCACATACACAAATATGCTCTCGAATACAAAACCATTAAATATATGGAAAAATAACTACTTATATTTGTATTTTTATCACTTAATAACGCTTGGAGACTCTTATTTAGTAAGAATTAATACAGTGTCGAAAGGAATAAATCGAGTGAATTCTTAAAGAAATTGATTCAGCGTTGAACGATAATAGTAGACTATAACGTAGAGACACGGCTCCCAGCAGATCACCGAAGTCAAACATCACTGGCTGCGGTCAGTGTGCGTGTGGGTGACCACTTGAATCAGTCTGCGTAGGGACCGAGGGTGTGCGGTAATGGTCTTCGTTAAATTGTTCTACCATAAAGTGACTTCGTGTGCAGGTCGTTGGGCCACCAAAGTAGAGGAGCCATCTCCTCTGCAGAGGATCAGAGTTGTGATGTCTTCGGATCATCCTCAGTGATATTTCTCAGACCGTCGCCAATAGCCCATTGAGCAGCTCTAGAACGGCGTAAATAAAGTACCTAACTGATCTTTGTCTTCGTGGTTCGGAATTCAGTGTAGTGAGTCCGAGCAGTTTCAAATCCGGCGAAGTTCAAGCCACGCATGGTTGGGGAGCGTGGTGTGGAGACAAATGATCACCACTACCATCCGATTTAAGTTGCAGTAGTGTATCGTGTGCATATGCCAGTATTGTCTTCTGATCATCATTAAGCTGTGGCCTGACATAATGCGGTTCGAGTAGCGAAACTATTGTAGTTGCTACTTTTGTTTGTAGTTTGTAGCGTAATGTGCTACTTTTAAAGAAAGTAGTGATGTGAATAATGCGATGCAAAATAAATAAGTCCCGCAGTGGACTGATCGTTAAGACACGGTTCCCAGTAGATCACCGAAGTCAAGCATCACTGGCTGCGGTCAGTGTGCGGGTGGGTGACCACTTGGATTAGTCTGCGTAGGGACCGAGGGTGTGCGGTATTGGACCTCGTTAAACTGTTTTACCGTAAAGTACTCGACTTTGCGCACAAGTTGTCGAGCTACCAAAGTAGCGGAGCCATCTCCTCTTTCAGAGGATCAAAATTGTGATGGCATGTCTTCCGATCATCCTCAGGGATGTTTCCCAGATCGTCGCGAATAGCCCATTGTGCAGCTCTAGTGCGACGTAAATTAACTACAACAACAAAATAAATAAATAAAAAACAGTAGTTTGTAGCAATTTCTGGCAATTACGTTTAACGTTCGTTTAGTAAAAGACAAGGTTCAAACTTCACTAATTTTTTGAATTTGATCCGTACAAATCTAAGCGAGTCCATCAGTGGACTTAATAGGAATGCCTCTGAAGTCGAAAGTTAATAAGAATAACGTAATACCAATATTTAAACTATTTATTGCAAATAATCACTAATTTATCATTTTGATCAAATCTTCAAATGTAAATAAAAACGAAATACATTGAATAAAATTAGATCTAATGATCGGATTCTCACTTATTAAGATTCAATGTTAAGGGTTCGAGCGATTGACCTCAAATATGCAGACATTTTAAGTTACGAAATCAGACGCACAAACATACTTTCTCTGAATAAACATAGCTTTTTTTGAGATAGATTATGATTTCTATCCCTCTAGATATGGGGGTAACCGCAAGCAGGGAAATATGGTTCTAATTGTTTGGTCATGAAAGTGGTCGAAAATTTGAACCCCTTAATGTTAATTTTATATTTTGCGTATTTTGCTGTATCACCAGAACTTTTTAAAGGAAACATTTTTTGCTTACTGTTAAAAGATTTACATTTTATTGTTCATTTAAAACAATTTTGGGTTGCAATGAATACAAGTCTTTAAACTCTTTTAAAGAATGTGATTTTAAATTTCAAAATACAACATTTGATCGAAATCGGTCGAATAGTTCCTGAGAAATCGAATTTAAATATCTGACTTTTTAAAATTCAAGTTATCAGGAACTATTCGACCGATTTCGTACAAAATTTGTATTTTGCTTAATAAAATTAAATTGTATAAATCAGGTAAAATTTGCATGCCTAACAATTTGATTTTTTTTTTTTACTATTATTAAATAAAATAATACTTATAATTTTTTTGTGTGGAATTATCTTGAGATAAACAAATTTTATAATAATATGCAAAAACTTTTCAATTCGCTTAAATAGTTTTCGGTTTATGGCAAAATATGCAAAAAATGAAAGTAATAATTAACACTGTAAGGGTTAAACGACTTATGATATTCCTTTTTAACCACTATAGTAGTTAGATAATGCATGCAGCTCTTCTTTATCCACTATTTAATGTGCCGTTATTTTTGAAAGTGAAATAAGTCAATTTTTTCCAATATTTAGATATCTAATAGTTTGCGTTTGAATAAATTTTAAAATAATAGCAAAGATTAAATGGCAATGGCAATTCGTTCGTTTTTATCACTGCAATTTGTTTAAATTTTAAAATACCGTAATGAGGTGGTGGTGTTGTTAATTTACGTCGCACTAGAGCTGCACAATGGGCTATTGGCGACGGTCTGGGAAACATACCGGAGGATGATCCGAAGACATGCCATCACAATTTTGATCCTCTGCGGAGGGGATGGCACCCCCGCTTCGGTAGCCCGACGACCTGCGCGCGAAGTCGAGCACTTTACGGTAGCACAGTTTAACGAGGACCAATACCGCACACCCTCGGTCCCTACGCAGACTGATCCAAGTGGTCACCCACCCGCACACTGACCGCGGCCAGTGATTCTTGACTTCGGTGATCTGCTGGGAACCGTGTCTTAACGATCAGTCCACTGCGGGACCCGTAATGAGTATTAAAACCGTAAAAAGAAATAAACGATTTTTATTTCCAAATGGACTTATTCCACTTTCAAAAATAACGGTTAAATTTTCTGTATGTTATTCGCTGGTAAGTTTTGAGGTTCTTCATCAAGTTTTTGAACCTGACGAATCTATGAGATTTAGTAACACCGTGTACCTTAATTTTTAACTCTTATTCCGGAATAGCAGTTTTCTTGCTTCGTGTACGTGGACCTACAGATTTAAGAAATAACTTATACAACTACAATTGTTATAATCAGCCATACACATTTATAAATCCATAAAGACTAGTTGAATAAATTCTCTTTTCACCACTATCTACCTCTATACTTTCCTAAATCAACAGAAGATATAAGTGAGTATGAGTATAGTAAAGTGCGGCGTGCTCTTTGCTTTCGCTTATAGCACTGCGTTTCAATAGGTAAGACTTAATTCAGCCTAATAAGATTTATTTGAGCTCTGAGGCTCTTCATCAAATTCGGCATGCTACCACCCCACGGACCTAGACCCCCGTTCGATAAAGGTGATCATTATTTTATTTCTTTTAATTACTGTTACGCACACATGCAGACTTGTGTGTTCAGTACAAAGAACGGCTTATAAGCCCATATAAATTTGAAAATAGGCAGCTCAATTTAGAGAGTTGTAGTTCATTTACGTCGCAATAGAGCTGCACAATGGGCTATTGGTGACGGTCTGGGAAACATCCCTGAGGATGATCCAAAGACATGCCATTGCAATTTTGATTCTCAGCAGAGGGGATGGCTCCCCTGCTTTGGTAGCCCGAAGACGTGCTCGCGAAGTCGAGCACTTTACGGTAGAACAGTTTAACGAGGACCGATACCGCGCATCCTCAGTCCAGACTGAGCAAAGTGGTCACCCACCCGCTTACTGGTCGCAGCCAGAGATGCTTGACTTCGGTGCTTTACTGGGAACTGTGTCCTTACGATCAATCCACTGCGGGATAGCGCAATTTAGAGAAGGACAGCACGAAGATGCCAGGGTTACTGCGGTATTCGAACCTGCTACCTTCACGCTGCAGAACGTTTGGAGTAAAAGCGATACTGTTAGGCCAGGTAGGTCTCTAAAATAAGGGGACTAGCATCCCCAGGAAAAAAAAATGGTTGCAAAATTTCTAAACGGGTATTTGTAAATTTGTAGCTTTGAATTTTCAATTGAATATTCTGAGAATAGAAATCCTTCGCAGAAATCCGCTAGCAGAAATATTTTTTTCAAGTGATTGGAATGGTGAAAAGGTGAGTTTTTGAATGCTTTTTTTTCACTTCCTTTAAAGAAAATTTGCAACCAGTTTTTTAGTTTTCTGAGGACGCTGGTCAGCTTATTCGAGAAATGAATAACATACATCTTTTCACTGCTAATAAGTCCCGCAGTGGACTGATCGTTTAGACACGGTTCCCAGCAGATCACCAAAGTCAAGCATCACTGACTGCGGTCAGTGTGCGAGTGGGTGACCACTTGAATGAGTCTGCGTAGGTACTGAGGGTGTGCGGTATTGGTTCTCGTTAAATTGTTCTTCCGTAAAGTGCTCGACTTCGCGTGCAGGGCGTCGGGCTACCGAAGCGGGGGTGCCATCATCTCTGCAGAAAATCAAAATTGCAATGGTATGTCTTTGGATCATCCTCAGGGATGTTTCCCAGACCGTCATCAATAGCGTCATTGTGTAGCTCTAGTGCGACATAAATGAACTACAGCAACAATCACTGTTAATAGAGGGTAAAAGCTTGTAGCATCATCCTCTTTATCATTATCAATGCAACTCAACTCAACTTTTTATCATTACTACCTACAAAACTATATAATTGTGAATTTTTGTGCGAAAGTGATTAAAACTCTGTTTGTGCGGTTTTAATTGGTGCTGGAGCCTTCTTTGCCACTCACAATTCAGTCAAGTTTCAATTGCCGCTACGTCAACTCGTAATGTTGTAATTCTGAGTTATATAATCAGAATCGAGTTTGAGAAAGTTTGGCTGGAAATCTTAAGAAAAATCTTGTGAGGAAACTTCTAAATCGAGGTATCGGTATTTGCTATTTTGTTTGGATTTCTATTTTGAATAGTTTAAGCAACGTTCTCATTATATTATGATTGTGTACTTAATAAGATATATTTTAAGTTTAAAAAATAAAATATTTAAAGCAGAATCGAATCTAGTTTGAAATAAATATTTTTCTAAGGTTTGAAAATCCACAATGTTTCTTAAGATTTTGAGCCTTTTGTAAAGTATTAAGAATCTAAAGCATTTTCTTTAATTCTACATTTGTGTTTTATTTTTTTTCGGAATTTCCAATAAAGAGACTATGGAATTTTCTTAATCTTGCGCTGTTTGGGAATAGCATAGTTGAAGCATGCTGCAATTTCCTTGTGCTGAGCTTGTAGAACTATAAAGATATAAACTTAAAGATGTATAAATTTCTCAAATTTTAAATGTACAAGCTGAACCCATTAACGATAAAGCTCAAAAAAGGTAGTCTATAAATTTTTACTGAAACTGATCCAAATAAATCAAATGTCCAAATTTTTAAAATGTATGAAAATTGAAAGGTCGAATCTTCATGCCGATTAATTTTGTTTGAATCTGGTGCAAATATTATAAGATCTTGCGAAGCTTGTGCAACAAAGTTAACATGTAGAAACTAAATTTACCAGAAATTTCAACTTTCTAATATGTTAAAAAAACCTTTTTATTTGCATATGAATAATTGGCAAACTTTTTCCGTTTTTTAGGTCAATATGCAGATAGTAACAGTTGCGACGCTTTTGGCGATATTTTCAGTTACCCAGGCAGCTGTGTTTTCTTGGATGACCGTACCTTTGGTTTTATTAAGCGTAAATAAACAAGTTGAAGGCTTCTTTAGTTTATTTAGAAGGCGTCCAGCTCCTAAAGTACCTATGCGAAAAGAAGTTCCTGAAGGACCCGTGCAACCTGCTATGCCCAACTTTCCACAACAAAACTTAAACCTTTTCAACCCCTTCGGAAGCAGTGGTTTTTCTGCACTTCAAAATATTCCAAGTTTCTCTAATCCATTTCAAGGAAATAGATTCGTAGTAAGTTTAGTATTATAAATCTAAAATGTTGATACTTTTCCAGCAATTTAAATCTTACGTTTTATGTTGTCAAACCAAAAATTAAACTAGCTAAATTTTACTTATTAAAAATAACTCAGTGAGTTAAACTACTCTCCGTTTTAAGACAGTTTGTTTACTTTAAAAAACGTAGTAGTTTTATTTAAGAAATAAATTATACTTTTGAAACTTCTGTAAAATCTTTTTAAAATTTAGCTTAAACTGGTATGTTTCACTGAAATTTTACATACGCAAGACCCAAAAATATTCTGAAATCTGAGTCTTGTGAAGTTCATTTGAGCCTTTAAATTAAATTTTCTGAAAGTGCCGCATTTTTTATGGACTTTAAAATGTTTTTAAAAGTTGCAACCAAGGCAGATATTAATTTTGGATGGGTTAGTAAACAAAGAACTGAACTTCAAAGAAGATATTTCCTTTTGTGAAACTAGATCTTGATTTCTTTTGCACAAATTTTGTAATATTTCAATGATATTTAAGCATAGGAATGATACGATAAGTATGGTATATAGTTGATTGTACGTTTACTGAAAATCTATGTGAAATTGAAAAAATAGCACTAATTTAACTTCGATACGCATAAGAAATCTTTGCATTGAAAATGTATAATTTATATTAAAATTAAGTTTAGTATTTGTGTTTGCTTGTCAAGATTATAGACAAGCCAAAGTGTTATTGCTATTAAAAGCAACAGGATTAAGATTTTTGCAAACATTTTAGCCTTTTTAATGAATCTTATTTTCTTATTCCTAAAACAAATTTGTTTTAAAAAGCGCTGCTAATACCAAAGTACATGAACATTACGTTTGAGTTAATAGGACATGTATGTATTTACTTTTTGCCGGTTCTTTATGTCTACGAATGAGTCGTACAAAAGTTTTTCAATATTCACTTTTTAACTAAGATAATTGCATGTTCATGTGTTAAAATATTTGGAGATTAATATTTTTACTTTAGTAATGCAGTTATATCTTTCATATTGTAACAAAAATCACTTCTTCATAGCCACAACAGCCAATGAGACAACCTTGGTTTTCTCAATCTCAGAGTATTCCTTCACAGAATCCAGTTCAACCTGCAAAGCAGAGCTTTGCACCTGCATCTGATTTTTCAGCACAAAACTTTCAACAGAATCCGAACTTTGGATTAGGTCAGTCTTTTGGACAAAGTCAGCAAAGTTTTGAAGCTGCAGAATCTAATTTTGGATCAGATCAATCGTTTGGAAGCGACAGAGATATGAGATTTGATGACACACCACCCCCTATAAATGCTGAAGAGGCTGAAAGTTTCTTCACGCTACTTGCTGAAACAGATGAGAATAAGTGCATCTCCAGGTTAGTTTGTGAAATGGGAGCAGATCCAACCAATGCCGGTGATTTAGGACAAACTGTTACTGAAATAATTGGGTAAGTCATTTCGTTAACTTATTTTTAAAATAATAAAACTAGTTAAGTATAAATTTTGTCTTTCAAATCTTTAATTTTAACGATTTCCCTAATTAAGGTACAAAATGTAAGTTTCCCGATAAAATCTAAAACTAATTTTCAAATTTCACATTAACCATTCAAAGAATTTAGTTTTGATAAGACTCGTATCTAACGATCACCATGTTCTAATCTAACATTTTTCATCACTCTTGTATATGCAAATCAGCTTTTATACTATTACTCTATAATCTATCTTTAGACTATAAAAGGGTCTCGCGAACCTATTTTGGTACCAGACATAATTTTTACACTTTGATTAGATGTTACTAAGCTTTGACACATCATCCGGCTCTTGTACTATAAATCTAATCATTCAAAACCTTATGTAGCTAAAATAGCGGTAAAATTTCTTACCTGAAATGTGTTACGATGAACCATACTTTGTTAGATTACTTTAAAAGAGAATTATTGGTACGTAATGTCATACAAAACTTGAGTAATTTCGTAAAAGTACATTATGAATTTTATAAGTAATTTTTAGTAACTTAGCTAAAATACAAAATCGCAGTTATGCGAAATTCAAAAATCTAAGTTAAGTTACCTTAGGTTTGATTGCAGTTTACCCAAATTTCATCAGCCTTTTTCAACTGCAGAATTCTGCGTTAGTTTTTATTTGTAAAGTAAAGCTTAATTTAAAATGAATTAAAAGCTTCAAGTTAAACCTTTTTTTTTCTTCCCTCCAAAGGCAGATATTTCTCCTGCATTTCGACTTTTTGAATCTGGTTCGTTGCATCAGAGAAGGAATTTTAATATTAAAGGGAATTTTTATTAACACTTAGTAGTCTAGATTCTAGACTACTAAGTGTTAATAAAAATTCTAGTTTTCTAATCTTTTTTTTAATAAACATGTTCTAGACTCTAGAACATGTTTCTTATTAAAAAAAATTAAGAGCCATTTTTTTAAAATCTGATTTGTAAAACTTCTATTCGAAATCCCGCATGTCTAACGGAGTATTAAAGTAAGCATGTTACGAGTCGTCAGTTGGGATTAATTATTAAATTTAGACTTTGAGTGTAAGTCATTCAGGTGAGCTCTTCTGAGGATAAGATTTCCACGTTAAGTGTTTTAGTGTATTGAGATTATCTAGTGGCAAAAATCTGAAGTATTTAAAATACCGAACTTTAACCTAAAGCCGGTGACTCAGAGCTAAAGCCGGTGGCTCGTAGGATGAAGCACTCGCCTCCCAATTAGTTGAGCCGGGCTCTAATCCCAGCGATGGGTGGTCTCTAAGAATTCCGAATTCGGCTCGTACTGCCACAGTGCTGATGTAAAAATATCCCTAGTCATAGCCTAATCACGGGTTAGTCCCCCGCAGTCTGGCTAACAGTGAGGTTTTCGTGTTTTCTCCTTTCTGTAACGCAATCGCGGGTTAATTACATCAAAAATTCCTCCCCCGTAGGTAAATTTCTCTCAATACTTGATCAGGAAATCCCTTGTGTTCTGGATTGGGTTCAAAATTGTAAAGCTACGGAGTTGAACATTGGTACTCGTAAAGTCAAAATTGGGGCAGCAGTTGAACTATTATAAAACAGAAATTTTTTAATACAGTTTCAAATTTTTAAGTAAAAGTGTCACTTGATTTAAGGAAAGTTATTAAAATGAAAACTTTGAATAAATTAATATTTTCCTATTTGGCAAATGAAGGTAACAAAAAAAATCTAATGTTTATTGAATGATGTAGAGTAAATTAAATTTGCTTTACCACTAAAATGGCTTAACCACTAAAATGCATTCTGAAATATTATAGATTAGAATAATAGAGTCAATTTTTGAAAAATGTGCGTTCTTTAAATAGCGATAGTTAACTGGAATTTTCTTTATGTGAATTTTGATAAACAGTACCTTGTAGTTTCTGTTGCAAAACTGAAATTTTCAACTCGTTGAAATTTAAAGAATTTAGTAAGCATTCGATATTTTATTGATACTAATACAATAAATTAGTAAATATGTAAATGGGAAGTATCTTAAGAGTTTAATAGAGTTTAAAATAAAATTCCGCTGCAATTCTAATACCGCAGTTTTGTATATTCAAATTGCAGATTTTACTAAAAGCCACGTGTTGCATTGTAAGTTCTTTTCAATTGAGCATTTTAGATTTAAAAATTATCATATTGGATCTTGTTAGAATACTGGCATAGCCAAATAAACAAGGACAATGTGGGAATTAATAAAGGCGGACCAGTTAATCGCTGTTAGTGTTGAATTCACTCGGTGGCGTTCAAAGATGTAGATTCCCCCGAACACGAGTAGTCAGTAGAGGAGAGTCTTGGTGGATCAGGGGATAGCGTTCGCCTTCCAATAAAATGAACTAGGTTCGAATCCCAGCCATGACTAGTCGATACGAATACCACACCTGGCTATCGCCGACAAGTTCTGACTTAAAATATCCTCAGTTGTAGGCTGATCATGGGTTAGTCCACTTGCTGTTGGGCAAATCGTGAGAGGTTTTCGCTGTTTTCTCACCATGTGACGAAAATGCGGGCTAGTTCCATCGAAGTCCTCCAAGAAGGCAAATTTCTTCCAATACTTGATCCAAGAGTTCCCTTGTCTTCTGTATTAGGTTCAAAAATTACAAGGCTACGGAGTTCAACATTAGTAGTCGTAAACCCGAAAATTGGGTCTGCTGTTCAACGACGGTTATAAAATATTAGTAGAGGGAAAAATCGAACAAAAATACATACAAATTAATTTAAATAAAATTCCATATTTTTAGTTTGTATTATATTTAAATCAGAAATTTTTCTATGGCAAAATATTCCTAGTTTTTTCTTGTGTAAATTTCGTAGGTGATCAGAATTTTAAAACTCCATTAATGTTGTGTTTGGAACTAGTGTTCATAAAATCAAATAAAAATAGCAATTTAAACGTCATTCGATATTGTAGATTAGGTCCCCCTTCAAGGTTTCCTCTGCTTTCCACTAAATGCAGGTAGGTTCGATCAAAACATTAAATTTCAAAATTCTAAATTTCATCTAGTAACAATGTTTACTTTTGTCAAATTTAACTTAAAATTCTAGCAGCGGAGATTGAATTTCTAGTTATATAAAGGAAAATTTAACTTTCTAACATTTGCAAAGAGTAACTTGAATCAAAGTAAATATTCATTTGACATTTTATCGCTTTAACATAATCTCTAAAAATCACTTTGTTTTAGGTCTCTGACAGATTTTCCTCCTGGTACCAAAGTTTTTGAATATAATGAAATTCTAATGAAAGGACGTTCTCAGGGTGCATCGTCTTGCGTGTCTGAATTTCCATCTTGTGATGAAGAAACTTATGTTGTCATGAAAAGTAATCAACCAGATGAAGCTGAATTAGCAGAGGGAGCAAATTCAATGCCCGATATTGCCTAGTAATGTTTAAAGCTAAAATTAGTATTAATAAATTAGTTTTTATCTCTAGACTTTTCGTTATTTGGACTTATATTTTCAAAGTTTATTGCTAAACTTTAATATTTTTTTCGCCTAAAAGTTCTAAACAAAATAATTAACATAAGTGACTGTATCTGCGGTTCGGAAATTCGGCTTCGTGTATAATTTTGTCTTGTTTTGAAGCATAGAGAATCTACTTTAACCTATAAATTAGATTTACTGTTTCAGATAAAATGTATTGCTGTTGGGGTTTTAATAAAATTCTGTTGGGTAATTCTCAACATAGTTGGATGTAAGTTAACTCCTTGGAACTGGATGCAAAGAAATAGTGAACTAAATTTTAGATCATACGTTCTTGAACGTTTAGGTTTAAAAATATTTTAAAACAAATTCGAAAGTCTGGAACTCTTTGAAAGTTTATTTTTAATGTTTACGAAGTTTTTAGTATTTTTAAAATATCTATTTGTCGTTAGTTTGGTTTTTTAATATTTAAATTTCTACTCGTGCTAGTGCTAAATTTACAAAATTTAAAACTATTTGCGGAAAATTGTAAATTTTTCAAGCTGCAACTTTTTAAAATACTGCAAAAACTAAAGCTCATCTAGGATCAACCTCCCCTTTAATTTATAAAGAGCATTAAGAACGCTTTTGTATTAAGCCTTCAGAAATTTAGGAATAATCTTGAGCTGTTTGGCTGTAAGTTCTGAACAAAATTTAAAGTAAAACTTTCTGGGCAATAAATTTGCAAAGAAACTAGCAAGACTTTAAAAAGGATTATACGAATCTCTAATAATGTTAAATTAAAATGCTTCGTCGAAAAAGCACACTATAAAGGAGTAATCAAAAATTTGGATTTATTAATCTCCACAACAGTTGAAAAATAAGATTATTATTGGTATTCCATTCAGAATGTATTGAGAAATTCACTAATTACAAATACACGGTCTTTTGTGGCCAAAAAGTTTGTTGCAAGTCAGTTGAGTGTTTTATGAAGGTTTCACTGTGAGAGCAATGAAGTATGTGGTCAAAAAGCTATTGTTATAAATCACTGCTGGAATATTTTCGTTATTTAAACGAACGTAACATAGGGTTGTACGAATTTATATCAAAGTGAGCTGCTGTTTGGCTGTTTTGTTATAAAAATTAAATAAACAAAATTTATTAAAGTTAACGTTCACATGGAAACTAATAGTAACTCTCTGAAATTAGAAAAAGTGTGTCTTTTTCGTGTAGTAATTGCTAAGTTTAACTTATCTGTAATGTAACTTCGTATATATTAAAGCTACATTTTAAATTTCTTTTTAAATTAGATTTGGGTTTAAAATTACGTCAGATGTTTGAACCAAAAAATATGACTTTATCATTGTACATCAAAACTAATTTCTAATTGCTGTAATAGTCTAGATCAGTGTTTCCCAAAGTGTCGTACGCGTACCTCCAGGGGTAAGGGAACAGTTTAGCGGGGGTACGCGTTCTTATGTAAAATATCGTTCAACAAACTAAAATTTCGAAAAATTTTACTAAACAAAGCTAACTAGGAAAATTTAAGATTACGTTCTTTTCTATTTATTTTCTGCAGAGTTAACAGTTAATAATTAGTGGTGTCAACACCCAGTTGTGATTTTTAACTTTTGTGCAATTTTTTTATAGTAAAAAATATTCATTTTTTTTATTAATGGTACACAGCGTTACGAAAAATTTAGAAAGGGTACACAAAAGTCATAAGTTTGGGAAACACTGGTCTAGATGCTTGTATACTAACATGAACTAAATCAACCTAAAAAAAAAGATATTAAGTAAAATTCCCAAGGGCTCTTAGAGTCAAAGCATTTTATTTGAAGGAAAAGTGTCGATAAGAATATTTTGCAAGTTTATAATAAGACACTTATGTTTACGTAAGCATTTTAATAAATTTAGTCTGAGAATTTCAATATTTTTAACGAAATTGGATTGTGATATCCAAGTTTGAAAATCGCCGCTTGCGTAAACGTTTTGCATAGAACTTTATCTTAAAATTTGAATTTATGGTTCAGCTAAGTGATTAAAAATGTTTTAAAGTTGTTTAGATTTTTATAAGTTTATACGAAGTTCAGTAATTTTAGGAATCTGTCAAAGAAATTTGCAAACATTTAGTAACATAAATATATTCCGCGTACACATATTGTGTACCTTGAAAAATGGAGAGATTTTATTAACTTTTGAATCAAATTATTTCATTCTTTGAAACGCGAACAATACAATTCATGTTCAAAAAACAGTTAAAGAATGTATTTTTAATATGAACCAAAAATGTATTAAGAAATTTTGGAAACTTATGCTGAAGATAATGTTCAAGATCGATATTCCTTAATAATGCAGATTGTTTTCTAGTACTAAAAGGCAATTTAAATTCATTGTACTGAACATTTTGACAAGATTAATTGCTTTTTAAAATTTCATGCTCAATTCACTAAATTATTCAGCTGGACTTTCGAAAAATCAAAAGCTCAAATGTTAACAAGAATTAACCTAACAGAATATGTAACAAATGATTCTGGTTTGCGTGATTTTGCATAATCGTTTTCTTACGAGTGGAAGTAATTTATTTCTTCCACGGTTATTATAGTTTATGCAACTGCAATCAGTTCAACAATAAAAATGTGTATAACTTATTAATGTCATCTGCATGAACTTTATGACATACTTAGGTACAGATTACAAATTTATACACTTGAATATTTCATCGATAATTTAGTATTTGCCTCAAACAAAAACGAAATTCTATGAATAATGCAAAGCATAAATAGAACAAAAATGTATAAACTTAAGGCGAATTAAAAATTTAAAGAAAGTTCAGAACTAATGTTTTGGTCAATAACAATTCTGACTCTAAGCAAAAACATTTTGGAGTTTAGTTGTATCATAAGTCAAATGTTATGATTTGGTCTTTTTGAAGATTTTATGAGTGGTATTTTTCTTAAATGTACAGTGAATATCAAAAGTAAGTATGCTGATATTGTACTCTATTAACATAAAAACTAATTTTACAGCTGCTATACTAGAAATTTGATGTAATGGTGGATTCTTCTTAAAATTCAAGATGAAAACTTTATATAGTGATTCAGTTTTGTCAATGCAATATTGGGATTATTATCAAACAGCAAATTTACCAACCAAAATCCAACAGTTATTAAAAATAAACTTTGCAAATTGGTGTTTTTATTAACTCTAGAAACTTAAACTTCGATTAAAAAAATAAAATAAAACTTGCTCTAGTCTATGAGATTAGTCATTCAGTTTTTGCAATTTCTCAACTTAATTTTTTGTTTAATATGTCCTATTTATTATTAGAAAATATATTTTTTATTCCTAAATCGTGTCTTTTGTATCTTTTTTAGCCTATTAATGCTGTACAGAAAGTTTTTTCATATTACTATTATATTTATATATCGCTGGTTCGAAACTAAAACGACACTTCTGCGCTCACTTCTCACGATATTTAAATGTTTTATTATATAAATAAGAAAAATTATTAGTCAAATTAGTTGTCGAACGAATAATCTGCTACTCTGACTAATCCTCATAGAGGTCAAATGAAACAGTGGCTGAAAAGAGGGTCTTAACAAAACACTTTTTAGTTTCCTTGGACCAATAAATATTTTTTTAAAACTAGTGTAGTAATTCCTTTGTTTTGATGAACTTTGATAACTTTTAAGAGTTTGATAACTATAATTTATTTATTTAATACTTTTCTGCAGCCCTTAATGTGAATATTTTCTGTTTTCACATTTTACAGAGATTCTAAAAAAATATGCATTAAGGGAGGTGAATACAGAACACCTTGTATACTAATGGATAGCAAATAATAAGACAAAATATTTATCTTTGGTATCTGAAATATAAGAGAAAGTTTAGGTAAGAAAAAAATAACCGGTAAAGTTATAAATTAAAAGGTTTTCTATTAGATCCACATTACAGCTAAAAACATCTCAATTTTGAAAAGTCGCATTTAATTAAAGTCTATCAAATGTAAAATGTTCTTTAAAATGTTTTAAAAGCTTAACAATTGCTTTTCTATATTTAATTTATAAAACGAACAAGGGAAGGGCATGACTAAGGAAAATTACTTTACGATGAAACTAGGTAGTAGTAAAATACTTTTAGAATGTTTTCACCCCTTAAACTACATTAGATTACCAATTCTAAGAAAAAAGCTTCTTAAAATTAAAGCACAATTTATACATTACTTCATTCTTAAACAGGCGTCGAACGGCCAACCCATTTTTTGAGGTTACTGTTACCAATGATAAACTCCGTAGTCTTGTGATTTTGAACCCAATCCTGAAGGCAAGGGAACTCCTGGATCAAGCGTTGGAGGACTATTTGATAAAACTAAACCGCATTTGCGTTACATGGAGAGGAAGAATAAGAAAATTCTCCACAATTATCCCGACGGCAAAAGGGGATTCTCACTCATGATCCATCAGCCACTGAGGATTTTCTACGCCAGCAATGTGGTCAGTGCGAGTTGGGTGCAAAATTCCAATCGACGAGCCATCGCTGGGATTCGAACTTAGATCATCTCATTGGGAAACGAGTGCTCCATTCCCTGAGTCACTACGCAGTGGTCGGAAGAGAACTCTGAGAGAGCTGCTAAAATTCATTCTTCAATTGTAATTTTTAAAAGTTATCAATATAAGAGTTTCAAGGTCGCTAATTTTAGAGTCTAAGGTTCTAACCTTAGTTAATCTAGGCTCTAACCTAATATCCATATTAGGTTCTAACCTAAGGTAAGGTTATATTAGGTTCTAACCTAATATCAGTTTTTAAAATGGCTGCGTTTAACTGCCAAAAATTGTCTAATTAATCATAAATATTACTTCAAAAAAGTTGTATTTTATTGTGATCCTGTGCATTTAATATCGATAAGAATATGGAACTATCATACTTAAACTCATTATGATGAGTAACAAAAAGAATATAAAAGAAAGTAAGGAAAGAAAGTAAGAAAATCTAAAAAAGAGAAAGAAAAAAAAAGTAATTGATTTATCCTTTTTCCTAATAAAAAGGAAACAAAAATGTAAGTATGAATAGTGCTTTAATTAATGGAATAGAATACTTAGAATAATCAAGAAAAATGAATTAGATGATCAGTTTAAAAGTTTTAATTATATTTTGCGCAACTTATTATTTTAAGGATTGAACAGCTTAAAACAAAATTACTAATACACAGAGTTTCATCCCGTAGTGAACCAATATCAGGTTCATCAATATCAGGTTTATTAAATGCTTCTTCTCCATCATTTTCAGCAGTCTTAAGTACTAGTCTAGTCCTTTTATTTTATGTTATAACCGTTGTTGAACAGCCTACCCAATTTTTGGGTTTACGACTACTATTGTCCAACTCCGTAGCGTTGTAATTTTGAGCCCAATCCAAAAGACAAGGCAACTCCTGGATCAAGTTTTGGGTGAAGTTTGCCTTCGTGGAGGACTTTTTGGTAGAACAAACTCGTATTTGCGTTACACGGAGAGGAAAATTACAAAAACCACCCACGATTAGCCTGCCGGCAAGGAGACTCTAACTCATGATCCGTCTACCACTGAGGATATTATACGTCAGCACTGTGCTCGGCGCGAGCCGGTTGCGGAATTCGAAGCAACTAGCCATTGTCGCGATTCGAACCCGGTTCACCTTATTGGGAGACGAGAGCTTGTCATTCAACCCTCTTGTGAAGTTTTATATAAATTAAAAATGATTAAAAATTAAATTAAAATAACTTAACTAAAATTGATTACACCTAAATAAGTTGAAATTTCATCTTTTTATATTGAAAGTTCCTTTAATTCTTATTCTTATATAATTTAAACAAATTATTTCAATAAAATTGTTAAATTGATAGTATTTCACTATAATATTTTGAAAAGAGTGAGCAAATCCATAAATCAACTGAGCGTAATGTATCATACATCCAACAAAGAAAAGGGTATATTTGTGTTACGTAGACAAAAGCAAAAAGAATAAAATAAAACAAAATCGAAGTGAATAAAGCACAAGTGAAAGTACATAAATTGACATACAGTTCAGAGTTCTGACACTGACAGAACACTGTCAGTGTCAGTTCTATAAATAAGAACCTTCCTCAGTGTCTGAGCGTCAAATAAAATAGAGAAGTAAAGGGACAAACACGTGCAATGTAAACGGAGAGACAAGTGGTTTACACGCGTTTGGCTCTTTACTTTTCTATTTCATTTGGTGTTAGACACTGAGGAAGGTTCTTGTTTATAGAACTGAAACTATAGTATGCCCATTTATGTGTTTTCATTTGTGTCTTTTTAGCGTTGTTCTTTGACTTTTGATCATACATATATGCCACATTACATATATGTATGATATGATCATACATACATGCCACATATGTGACATATATGTATGATCATATCATACATGTCACAGCGCGTCATGCATCGCGTGCCTCACTCAACATATTATGCTGTAACTTTTACATTTTTACGAAAATCAATTCAATATTTTAGTATAATAATCTTTAAACCATAAACTATTGAAAAATATGATAGTTTTTTTTCCTTCTCATTTTTTGAGAATTTTACTGTGTAGTTCCCCATTATGCTCATACAAAACCAAATAGACATTTTATAATATAAAATTAAAAAGAAAATTATACTTTTCATAGGAAGTTTTAAGTCATGCAAAATAATTATTGGAACCAGAGAGATCATGGAATCAGCACTATTTCTAAAAGTGGAGTATCGGATATGGTAAGTTAAAAACTTTTTTATTGTGAATTCACACTAGTAATATATTTCAAGTTTTTTTTCTTCGATTTTAAAAATATAGGACAGTACCCCATCGATATTTTCCGCAAAGAAAATTGTTATAATCATCTTTTTTCAAATAATAATTAATTCGAAATACTTTAACTCAAAGTGCCTTAAATGTGAGATTCTGAAACCAGTGTCATTTTTGTGTCAATGCATTTATAAGTAAAAATTTTAAAATCTTTATGGAATTTTAAAAATACAAGCAACAAGCTTTAACGTATGGCAACTACTATAATTGTTTAACCCTTTGCGCAGACGGGATACCGGTGTCCATTTTATATATTGTTTTTTCTGATGTTCTAATTACAAGGAAAAATATATTTTGGTATTTTTTAATCCTAGAAAAGTCTAATAGTTACTAAAAAAATCAGTTAGATTATTGGAATTGTATTTGAATTAAAATATGAAATCTAAAAAAAGTTGTTTGAATTTTTTTTTATCCATAGGCCATATTCAAAATTGTATCAATAATTGATTTTGTAAATTATGGAAATAACAATGATAAATAACAGTTTATCCAAACACTGAGACGTGTTTGAAAGATTTTATCTTTAACGTAGAAAAATAAACCGTTATTTCATACCCTATTTCATGACTATAAATTATTAAAATGCTAAATGTAATATTTTTCACTTACTTTGGCCTAAATTAATACAAAATAAAGAAAAAGTATGAAAATATATTTAATTCAAATGCTGAGTTAAAGAATCGAAATTTTTTTAATTCCTTATCTATTTATTTTTTTAAATGTTTGAACTCAAAACTTTTAACTCTGTTTAAACTTAAAAGCATGCACAATTCTGTCACAACCTTTTTATTACAAATATTTGAATTGAAACCACAAAATTTTGGCAGATCCACAGAGATTCATGTACTTCAAACACATCATGTGCATCACAGTAGTAGTAAATCTCATATGAAAGATAAGCAATATAGAAAAAAGGATAAGCAATGTGCTACTATGAATATATGATTGTTTGAGTTTATTTATTTTAAATAATAATAGTCATACTTTAATCTGCCTATAATATACTTAGCTATTAGCATTTTGAAAAGTTACAAAATGGGTTTTTATCATCTTACTTCAAANTAAGCAATGTTGAAAAAAGGACAAGCAATGTGCTATTATGAATATATGATTGTTTGAGTTAATTTATTTTAAATAATAATAGTCATACTTTAATCTGCCTATAATATACTTAGCTATTAGCATTTTGAAAGGTTACATAATGGGTTTTTATCATTGTTGATGTTTTTTAATTACAATGACAATTTATAAAAAAGGTAAGAAATTTATTTTAATTTTATTTCATTTTAATTTTAATTATTTTAAGATAATTTTATAGCACATAAGTCATTATTTGAATCTTGTGGCTTTTCATCATGTCTAAAATGTATAGAAATGCAGTATTAAATCTTCCTGAAATATGTAATAAGTGCTAAAAATTAATACTTTTAATATTTAAACAGTAACTAAACATAATTAAAAAAATTTAAGTAACTAATTTTTTTTTCTATTTTTATTCGTTTACTTTCTCCTAATATATAGATTTCTTAGTAAAGATTGCATTTTTTTTGCTTTTATTTCAAGAGCTTGGATCTCAGAATTTGTTTTAGAAAGTTTGCTTGAAAGTTTTCAAAATGTATCGTTTGAATGTTGAACAAAATACGAAAAAAATATCACGGAGTAAAGGAAAAAAAAATCAGAGTTTTAACATCTATAGTAATAGAACACGGAGAAAAAATGAAACTAAGTCACGTTTGGATTGAGAAAAAAATTTAAATTTTCACTATTTGCAAAAAATTTTTTAGTATTGGTTGTTATATGATTGTTAACATATTTTGAAAATTTCAGCAAAATCAAAAATCTCAAGTATAAAGCCTGGCCTTATTTGCCCGATTTTTTTTTTAAACTGGCAAAAAAACTGGCTCTTAATCAAAATTATAATTTTATCACAAAGGATCACTCCAGGTTTCTTATTGATATTGGCTTAAACAGACCATTATACATAGATGTTTAACATTTTACTTTACTTTTCAATGGCGGATTCTAAAAGATTTCGACTGACGAAGATATACCACATCGTGACACCGAAACGTGAGTACTGCCGTGCAATTGAAAAAAACAACGTAAATGAATCACGATAGATTTTAAGAAAAGTGCTGTGTATTCTTCGATGGCGGATGTTTAAAGGTTTCCACCGATGAAGGTATACCATCGTGACGCCGAAACGGGAGTACTGCCGTGCAATTGAAAAAACAACGTAAATGCATCACGATAGATTTTGAAAAAAGTGCTCTGTATTCTTCGATGGCGGATGCTAAAAGGTTTCTACCGATGAAGGTATACCATTGAGACACCGAAACGTGAGTACTGCCGTGCAATTGAAAAAACAACGCAAATGCATCACGATAGATTTTGAGAAAAGTGCTCTGTATTCTTCGATTTCGGATGCTAAAAGGTTTCTACCGATGAAGGTATACCATCGTGACACCGAAACGTGAGTACTGCCGTGCAATTGAAAAAACAATGTAAATGCATCACGATAGATTTTGAAAAAAGAGGCGAGACAATTTTCTTCTCTTGCTAATGCTATCTTACAAAGATAGAATTTCAGAAAACCAATTAAAAAAAATTCATTTTATTTATTTATTCATTTTTTGTAATATGCAGCCAATTGTTAAAAAATTCCAAATATATAAAAATAGTAGTTTTGAATTTTGTTACCGCTTATGCCGATTTTTCAATTGAATGGCAGAATAGATTCTAATAAAGTTTACTGTTTGTGATTTCAAAAGTTTTTTTACTTATACATTAAGATCTTGTATCTGGTTTTCTATTATATTATTTTAGTTATGCATGTGCTTGTATTCGTTAATTTAATGTTATGTAAAAGAATTTAATTGACAGAATTAATTTTTTCACATAACACTAAATTAATAAATATTTGAATATTAAATTGTAACTTTCATATTTTTAGATAAATCAAGTTAAGAAAACGAAAACAAATACAACAAAATACAGCAATTTTCCACTCTATTTAAGAACAATCTTCAAATCCTCTTTAATAACCAGTTTTCCAGAAATTGCTACAGCTAAAACATGGGTGAGAAGAGTCTTAAAAATTCTGGTATTTCTGGGATGCTTGTGCGGCTTTATCTATCAAACATATAATTTTCTTATCTTGTATTTATCCTATCCTACAACTGTAAATGTTCAAATCACCAATCCTTTTGAGATTGTTCAACCTGCACTGACATTCTGCAATAAAAACAGGTAACATTCATTAATAATTATTTTTATCACGCTTCATATCTATTTTAATACTTTGTTGACCGATTACGAGATTGTTCATTTTGTATTCTTAAATTATCAATTCATTCTCTTTATTTCGAAATGGTCAATGGGCCACCTCCTACTCCCACTGGTTTGGTTAAGAAATCTTGAGCTTCAAATATCGCCGGACAAAATCTCGCGCAGTCAATATCTCGTATGCAGATTATTATTAGTTTTGTAACAGGAAATGTTTCAAAAGACACCCCTTTCACTTTTCTCGTTCTTGAGACTGACCTCAGCGTTATTAGTGTTTATTAAGTGTGTGTGAAGTTTTTTAGAAGATATACAAAATAGGAAAGATATTCATTAAAAATGTAGTCACCATCGAAAATCTATTTTCTAAAGTTCTGCAGGATGAGAAGTGAGTGTATGTTGATAATCACATTTTTTTCTCTTGCCATTCATGTGGTGTTATATCTTCGGTTATCATATTAAGAACGCGATATTTTGTCCACGTGACATTCATTTCAAGTGACATTCATTCCGCGTGAGATTTAATCCACGCGAGATTTAGTCCACGCAATATTTTGTCTACATAAAATTTCGGCCGCGGCGAGCTCAAAATTATCCGTGGACAAAATATCGCAAGGTCAAAAATCGCAAAATATCGCAAGGTATTATTAGTTTTGCAACATAAAATGTTTCACAAAAACACTGCTCTCACTATTCTCGAACTTGGGTATGACTTCGGCGTGATTAGTACTTTTTTTATATTTATTTATTTAAGTTTTTACAAGATATACAATATAAAAAAGATATTCACTCAAAATGTATTTACTTTCGAAATTATATTTCTAAAGATCTGCAGGATGAGAAGCGAGTGTGTGTTCATAATCACATTTTTTCGTGTCATTGGTGTGGTATCTTCCATTATTATATTAACCCCTTAACGATCGGTTAATTTTCAAGAAAACGGTCATAAAAGTGCCTATTTTTTTAATATTACAAATACACGTATTTGATTAGCGCTGACAACTAATTTAAAATAAACTAACTATCTACAATTACCTTAAAAATATCCTGGTACTGCTACCGCTGTGCAAAATGAGAAATAAAATGTTTTCCGGGCAAAAGAAATGAATTAGTTTTATTCTTATCGGCGAGTCTCTACTGAACACTCCAGCCCGTCAATTTCACGGGAACGAGAAATAGAGGGCGAAACCTCACCCCGTCATTTTCACGGGAGCGAGAAGGAAGGGGTTTAAGTATGCGATATTTCGTGAACATGATATTCAGTCCCAGCAAAATACAGTATACGCGAGATTTAATCCACGCGAGATTTAGTCCACGCAATATTTTGTCCACATGAGATTTCGGCTGTGACGAGGTCAAAAACTGGCGCGAACAAAATCTCGCTTGGACAATGTATCACGTATGTTGATTATTATTAGTTTTGAAACATGAAATGTTTCACGAAAACACCCCTCTCACGTTTCTCGGGCTTGGAACCGACCTCGACGCCAGTTTTTTTAATTTTATTTCTTTAAAGTTCTTACAAGATATACAACATAAAGAAGATGTCCATTCAAAATGCCGTTACCTTCGAAATTTTTTATTTTAAGGATCCGCAGGATAAGAAGTGGAAGTGTGTTCATAATCACGTTTTTTTCGTGTTATTAATGTGATATTTTCCTTTATCATATTACGGACGTGATATTTTGTTCACTTTGATATTCAATCCCAGCAAAATTTAGCATATGCGAGATTTAATCCACGCAAGGCTTAGTCCATACGAGATTTTGTCCAACTTAACTTATTTATAATCCAGCCACGATATTTGTATTCCCACACACTTTTTGAATTTTTTAATTCTCAATTTATTTCCTTAACTTCTAAATAGCGAATGGGCAACCCCTTCTTTCAACAAATCCGTTTGTATTCCAGTACCACATTGTTTTACCTCAAGCTTCCACACATCACAATGAATGTGAAGCGGCCTCAGCTGTCCAGCTCTACCGGAACGTTTGTCTTTCTGATTAATGAAGATAATTCGTTTAAAATATTCGTTTGAGACCACCTCTGTGTAGGCTATTACTAATTCACTTCCCATCAAGAACGTACAAATATAAGGTAGTTCTTCGATTTATCGAATGTTTAAGTATTTTTTTTTAATTTAATAATTTAAACGTGGGCTCGTAAAATTGAATTATAGTGATTATTTTTAAATTTCTAAAACACTTGCGTAAGTATCATTTTGAATAAAGATATATAAAATTAATTTTTTGATGAGACATTATAATTTTCACTTTCGAACTCTTCCAAATGGATATCAGTCATCACTTCAATATAGCCCCCTAATTAAGTATATCGACGAAATTTATATCTAAAACAAATGCTTTATGGACCCATTTATTAACCTTTTGACGCAAAATATTTATTAAACATATTCTTCATACTTTTTCTTCCATTATTTTGTATTAATTTATGTAAAAATAAGTGAAAAATATTATATTTAGAGCTTTAATAATTTATTTTTATGAAATACATCATGAAACTTCGGTTTCTTTTTCTGCATTAGAGGTTGAATCTTCCTAACACGGCTCCTATTCGAACAATTCATTCATCGTTGAAATTTCTTTAATTTCCGAAACCAAGTATTGATAAATTTTTGAATATGAATAGAAAAAAAAATTCAAACTACTTTTCTCTAATTTTATATTTTAGCACAAATATAATTGCGATACTCTAACTGATTTGTTTTTAGTAAATATTAGAGTGTTTTCCATAATTGAAAAATACCATAATGTATTTTTGCTTGAATTAGAGCTCCAGAAAAAAATATATAAAAGGGACATCAGCATCCCATCCGCGTCAGAGGGTTAAGGCAAAATTAGGTATACTGTAATTTATTCGTCGTAATTTATTGTGTAGCGCATCGCTCTCCCGTGGCACAGATTCTGAGTTCGATCCTCGAGACGGGCAAGGTTGACTCCGCCTTTCATCCCTTCAGTAGGTTGATAAATGAGTACCAAGCATGCTTGGGAGCTAAACACTGGGGGTTCCACGATCGGAGATGGGCACAGTAGGCCTTGGCCCTCTATGGGCTGTCGCGATACTGAGTTTAGTTTTAGTTTAGTAATTTATTCGATTGCAAAGTAGTCATTGATTTAAGTTTCTACTGTATATCTCTTCCACCTTCCAGCTACCAGACACAAAATCAGCGTCAACTGTCAACGTAATAATTAGTAGATACTTCTAGTCAAAAGCAAATAAATAAAAAATAAATAAAAGAACTTATCCTCACTTCTTAAAATAATTGAATACAATAATATAAAATAAAAATCTCAACAGAATAATATAACATCGAAATGCTTTTGAAAGCATTCTGTTATTAGAACAGTTTCATTTTTGATTTTGAGATTCAGAAATCTTAAATTATTTCTGTTTGCTATACCTGTCTAGGGAAATGGGCTAACTTATATTCCCTTCCTTTACTTAGTTGTCAAATAATCGATTCGCATAAGTTTATAATTGAAAGTGGCAGATTCAAGTTTTTGGCGTGGTGCTATCGATATTACAAAAGAATCTGTTCAGTATTTTAAGAAGATTTCAAAACATGTTAAAAAATGATAGTCTGTTGACTTTTTGACCACCATCAGAATGTTTTTTCCCTTTGAGTTTTTAAAGTTGCACCTTAGTAACTAAAGTTTCGCTGATGAGTTGTAGATCGTCGGTAAGCTTTTTATTCTGAGAACAGCTCGAGATGTGTGTTTAAAAGAATGGACAAAGCTCAAAATGCGTGTTTAAGAAAATGGACACAGTCCAAAATGCTTGTTTAAGAAAATGGACACAGCTCAAAACGCGTGTTTAAGAAAATGGACACAGCTCAAAACGCGTGAAGAAAATGGACACAGCTCAAAATGCGTGTTTAAGAAAATGGACACAGCTCAAAATGCACGTTTAAGAAAATGGACACAGCTCAAAATGTGTGTTTAAGAAAAGGAAAAATGCTATTTAAGAAAATAGACATAATATTTTATTCCTTTTTAAAATTTCTTTTATGAGTATTGTTATTTTTTTAGAGAACAAACTAATAAATCCAAACAAATATCGTTATGTAATGTAGTCAATTTGCATAAATCCCTTTAATACAATTTATTAAATTAGTCTTTTTTTTAAAAATACCAAAAAATTCAACAGTCAACAGTACAAAGGTTACCACGGGTTTAATAAATTTGTAATAGTGGTAGTAAATGAATGTTGTAGGAATTTAGAATTTTCAAACTTACTCTATCTTCTAGAGTTCTGAATACGAAGACATCGCCAGAAAAGTTAAATCTGTAGAATACCCAGCCACCCCACACCGAAATCCAGGACATTGCTCTGCAATGCTATTTCATTACTGGTGCTGAACATCCGACTAGTGTTTGGGTTTACGACTATCAATGTTTTACTTGTAATTTTGAACCCTACCCAGAAGACAAACTAGCTTTCGTGAGGACTTTTTGAAGGAATTAATCCGCATTAACGTTGCATAGAGAGGAAAACCACGAAAACATACCATAGTTAGCTCGACTGCAAGGATATTTAAAACCATGATCCTACCACTTAGGACATGACTCATATTAACTATAATTATTGTTTAAATAAGTAAGAAAAGTAAGACACAAAAGTTCTTATCAATTTGGGTTGAATATTGAAAATGTGCATTTTTCCTTTTTTTTTTTTTTTTTTTTNTTTTTTTTTTTTTTTTTTTTTTTTTTTTTTTTTTTTTTTTTTTTTTTTTTTTTTGCTGTGTCCATTTTCTTAAAAAGGCGTTTTGAGCTGCGTCCAGAATACAAAGCTCACCAATTAGATAAAGTTTTAACATTATTTACTAATTTAGTTATAAACACTAAAGACGCATATTCCTCGTTATCTGACAAGGGTATTTCAAGATATCTTCCGTTCTAGTACTTTCTATTTTTCCAGTATATGTTTTTAATTATTAACCTCTGTTTGCTTTCTTTTTACAGGCAAAGACGGTCAGTTATCTGCAAAAAGGTTAAAAATCAATGCACATTTCTACCTGAAAATAGATTTTGCACGCAATATCCAAGGTACTGTCCAGGGGGTAAAAGGAATTTTTTCGGGGTAGGTGACTTAATTTTGTATAAAAATATTCCTCGATACAATTTTAACATTTGAAATACTTAAAAAAAATTGGATTTTACATGTCTTGTAATAATTAAACTCTAAGGTTCTCTTAAAATAAATTTTTAATTACTTTCAATGTATAAAACTACAATATTGATGTATATAGTTTATAGATATTTCAGTAGTAATGAATTTATTATTAACGTTTCAAATACTTAAAAAAAAAATTGGATTTTACATGTCTCGTAATAATTAAACTCTAAGGTTCTCTTAAAATAAATTCTTAATTACTTTCAATGTATAAAACTACAATATTGATGTATATAGTTTATAGATATTTCAGTAGTAATGAATTTATTATTAATGAATAAATCATTTTCTCTAATAAATAATAACAAATTTGCTTTTTAGGTACCATTCCTAAATTCAATAATGGAAGATAAGCTTTCATGGGAACAAACTAGCAATGAATCTCACACAAAAGATATCATTTCATCCTGCAAAATACATCTCGAAGGAAAAATAAAAGATTGCGTGTATGTATAAAATACTTATTTACAAGAATAATGTAGCAACATTGCTGAAGGTATTACAAAAGAAGCTTCAATATAGTTTAAACTAAAATTTTGGGTATAGAATTATAATGATTTGGGAAACATTTAGCACATAAAGAGTATTTCATTCATACAGAGCAACAATTTTTCTAAGATTCTTTAAATAACATACTATCAAGATATTCTAAGTTCTCCGATTCCAATTATCAACTAGAAAGTTTAGTTGAAAAAAACTCACAAATGAACTAAATACTGAATTAGTCAAATACAATTCAGTAATTTCAACTGATACCCCCCCCGTACAATTATTGTAATAGATAACTGAATTAAATTATAATTAATAGATAACTCAATTATTGTAATAGATAACTCAATTTTATATTATAGAAAATATTTTGAATTATTAAGCTTCCCTAAATCCTCATTACCAATTCAAAAAGATATCTTACGCCAAAAAATCAAAAGTAATTTTCATTTAATTCAAATTACATTTTTGAAGGCAAGGAAGAAGAATTAAATTTAAGCTCTTTCAATTTTTATATTTAGAAATGTAAGGCTATAATTTTCAGTTTTCTTCTCTCCATAAAATACACTAAATTCAAAGGTAAACTTCAATAGACTTAAAGTCTATTGAAGTTTACCTTTGAATTTAGTGTATTGATGTTCAGTTTGTAGAAGAGCATTAAAAGTATTACAAATAGTTCTTTAGCTTTATTTAAAAAATTACCAGTATTATTACCGCTAAAAAAATTTTTTGAACTGAACACAGACATTTGTAATTTGTCATTATTTCAGAATAAGACCTTTCAGTACAAATTTATTTGAAAGCGTACACCTGGTTTTATAAATACAAATAAACATCACCGTAACCACGAGGGTCATAGAGGAAGTTTCACAATTTCGTGACCAATGGTATGATTATGGCAATGTGGTTAGCATTCCTCACAAGCCGCCTTAACTTCCTACTCATATATATATATATATATACACTGGTTATCATAAATTAAGGAAAAATCACAAAAATAGCGATAGCTCTTTCAAAAGTAAGCCAAACCGTGCAAAATTTGCATATGTTGTCCACTAAGAGTAGCTGAGTAAAATTGCAATATGCAAATTAGTGGCGCTGCACTCGGCTTACGTCATCTGCCTGGAGCATAAAAGTCCAAGTTTGAGAGAAAGCACACAAATTTTACTGTGATTGCGACATTGAAAATCTGAGATAGCCAATTCGTAATAATGACCTCTAGGCATCATTTGCCTGAAGAACTACGATGGAGAGC